CAGTTTGTGCTTTTTCTTTCTCTTTTTTTGGCATGCTTGTTGTTTCTAAAAATGCAGAACCACAGCAGAAGTGAAATCTGGAAGATCACAGACTTGAGGGAAACTTCCAGCGCAATTTGCACTTTTAGATCTGCAAGGGATTCATTACCTTTGCCCAGGCAACTAATCACTTGCAGCATCAGTGGTACAACTGCAAATCTGTGCTGCTAAGAACAGTATTTCCACAATGTACTGTTGTGCCGGCAGGAGGTTAGCAGGCCGTGCTGCCAGATGACACTGTGCATCCAAGACCAGACCTGAGGTCATGGGCAGCAGCGCTGTGCTTGCAGGCCCCGTGCAAGTGCCTGCACGTGTCTGCTGAGCACGCTGCTCTGTGCACAGCCCCAGGCACAGGGGCACATGCTGCCTGTAGAATGCGAATGAATGGTTATCAGGTTCACACGGTCGCTATGTGTTTTGGCCTGTCTGGAGTCAGGAGTTGTTTCAGAACAAGTGTACCTTTTTTTTTTCTTTTTTTTTGCTGCCTAACCTGTAAATTCCACATCAGGTACTAACAAACATGGCTCATCTCAAAAGAATTCATAATTAACTAAAAGAATTCATAATTAACTTCCACTGCAATTTGTTTGGGTCTTCCTTTACATAAGATATAAGCTCTGGTGGGAATTTAAAATGCTCTGAAGCATACACTGTGTTCTGTGTAACTGCTGCTGAGCCTACAGAGACGCTAACCTGCTGTAACTGCACAGTGTGTGTTTGTGTATGAGAGATCTCTGACAGACCTGTTTTTCTTTTTCTCTTTCTCTTCCTTGTCTTCTTTCTGCATTGGCAGAGCATCTTGGATTTGAATTAAAGGGTATGGAACAACCATTCATTTATTAATCAGAAGCCATTAAGAGCTGCCCACATTATATTTATGGCTTTAATGGGATGATTAAAAAATCAGCTGTTCTGTTCTTTTCCCTGGCACCGAAACGGACGTTTGGATTAAAAACCAAAACGAAGTAAAAATGCAAAGTGGAAATGTAAAATGATAAAAACACAGGTGTATTCTTAGCAGCACTTTTTTCTTTGTTCTGAGCAGCAGCAGGGTGCGTGTGGCATGACTGGGATGTTCCAATCACCATAGTCTCCTCATTCGACATGCTTTTGTGTCTTTAACCAAAAGGCAAGAGTTTGTGTCAGTCCTAAAGGCTGCCAGCAGGCACCACTTGGGGACAGGCAGGGGAAAGCAAGTTTTAGGAAGTTTTAGGGCTTTTACAGCACTGCCGTTCTCAGTGCGCTGACATCCACTGGGTCCTATCAAGGGCCAGGAGGGGTTTTGCCATTTCTCCTCCCAAAGGCTTTCTGCTGCCTTCTGTTTTTGGTAGGAAGAAACTGACCCATAGAATGTGATGTGAGGGGTGCGACTCTAGAAGACACTGAGCCTGGGGAAGTCAGTGTGATGCTGAGCTGGTGGCAAGCTAAAGTGTGGAAAAACACTGGCTTACAGCCTCTTGGAAGCAGGCGACTGCCTGCTCCTACCCAATTGCTCACAGTCATAGTGTTTTTCCTCCTTTCTCCTAATTCTGTTTTCAGACGTGTATCAAATCTCTCTGGAGTAGGCACCTGGAAAATCAAATCCCTGGGTTAGGTTTCCCTGAGTGCACAGGCAAGTGTGGGAGGGGTTGCTCACCAAGAACAGAGAGGTTTGTCTTTATCACTTAGCTTAAAAAAATTGGCCCAGCAATGCCATCTGGAGCAAATCTTCTCATAAAAATACTTCAATTCAATTTGCTAGAGACATGGGGACACCAATATTTCACTTCTGGATGCTAAATTGTCTTCTTGGGGCCCTGAGCCAGAGAGCCATGCACAAGCTGAAGCTGGAGAAGTTGGTCTCTGCTGGTTTTTGCATGCCTTTCCCCCAGAGCTCGTGTGTATCGCCAGCAGCTTGGTCCTGCTGCAGAAAATGAATGCATTTTGTGGTTTCAGAGAAAGTGGTGCTGCTAATACTAATACACTTAAATAAATGTTAAAATTAAGGATTTTTGACATCCCTTTTTTGTTGACTTTTGTCCTTTTCCTCATCCATTCTCAATGTCATCACAGAACCGCACACATCCCGTTCCCAGTCTGCAGTCGTCTCTTCTCTGCCATTCGTCTTTCACTTTCATGCGTTGCTGTGAACCCATGGCTGGATTGTGATTCTGTCAACATTATGTGACACAACGTGGTTTGTTCGTAGCGTTTGCTGCTGTAGAGAGACAATGCTGCTGATGAAGATGTGGCATTTTAGAGCACGCAGACACAAATGGACAAGTCCTGCTCCAGGATCTTACCTTCTCAAACACAGAATTGCAGAAAGCATTCTCCTGTTTTCTGTGTCTTTGTCGAGATGATTTTATGCAGCACGAAGATACTGTTTTACCAAGCATCAACTGTAATGAGATGTTAGGAGCTGAGCTAAATTACTGACAGCAGGTCATTTAATTTTTTATTTTTGCAGCAGTGATGCACAGCCTCCAGCTTCACTGCTTCACACAGCAGAGCTGTCAGCTCAGGGAAGAGCACCTGAGTCTGCATTTCTGATGAACTGAATTATTCCCTTACAATTCAGGTGGGAGTTCAGGAGAGCCAGTCATACAGGGTTGTGTACCCACATGACTCCCTGAACAGAGGCCAGAGTTTGAGCCTTGGATGAAATTTTTTTTTATGTAGCTAACAGGCTAAAACACTTCATGGTGTTGATGGCTTTGCTCTCTTTGTCCCTCTCCCTTCCATAATTCAAACAGAAGGATTTAAACTTGTAAAAAAGAGTCTTTGTAGCAGGAAGTGTAGCTGGTAAAGAGGCTTTGAAAACAATTGGCTCCATGGATTGATCTATGGTGAACAATGTTCTTCTTCCCACCCTGTTTGTGGAATTTGGTGAAGAAATACAGTTGGGTAGCATCTAAATTCTTGCCCAGTGCCATCTGTACCCAGAACATGACCCTACCTGATTCTGATGCTGATAAAATCTCTGACGTTCCTGTCTGAAGGAAATAGCTGTCCAGCTGTAAGCGAGGTTCCAGACCTGTGCAAGAGCAAGAAAACTTGTCTGCCATGGTTGCTGATGCCTGGAATAGGACCTCCCTCATATGAGCAGGTCCTGCACCATCCAGGCACTGGGCTGAGGAAGTGCAGGTGGCTGCTGGAACTGCTACAGCCCAATCACCTGCAGTCAAAGCAAGACGTGTTCTGCTGTTGTGGCTCACACCGGCTGTGGAGATGGAGTCTGGGGTCTGGCTGCCCATGTCCCTTGTGCATGGGGGGACGTGCTTCTGGGCAAGCTCCACCAGCATTCAGAGAGCCTTATCAAGCCAAAGGCCAGGGCACAGGCAAGAAGGCTGTACATTTATTTCTTTAAACTGTAGCTTTACAACAGAATCATGAAGCAAGCACTCCTGATGATATTTTGCATCCTCACGTCAGCATGGTTATTTGCAGACCCTGGTTTAGCAATTCTTCCTTCATTTCCATTTTGAGTGCTAGACAAACATTTTTCTCAGCACTTCTATTTCATTTTATTTTATTTTTCCCCGAAAAAGCACTTTCCTTTCTAAATTGGAAATAGGAGATTAGTCTAAATATTTCTTTATCTGGAATACTTTGTTACTTCTTCATTGTTTTTTTTTTCTGGAGTCTGGCCCTACCTCTAGTTGATGCTGGCATTTGAAACCAGACCTGTTTCTCTTCTGGTTTTATATTTCATTGTTTTTGTAGCTCTGGGAATATCACATATTCCATTGAAAGTATCTAGTGTGTGCCAGTGGAACGTGCCGAGCACAGCAACCATGGCACAAGTTTTATTGCCTGATCAACATGAAAAAAAAAATAAAAATCAGTGAATATTAGAGGAGAACTCAAAACCCGGAGATTTTACAATTAACACATAGTATGGAGACACAAGCACATTGGCTGTAGGTGCTAAAATACAAGGCTCGTGGCAGCTGTGGACTAGATCTTTCTCTTAGTCATTCACCAGACTGCCATTGCTAGTCTCAGTGAAGGTAGCTGGATTTGCTGAGAAGAACATCTGTTTTGGAGTAGCCATAGCCATGCCAATTGCTGCCTAGGTGTGGGTCAGTCACACAGCAGGTGGTATCCTGCCATTTCCTTGGAGCTTTGATTAACTGGAATGAATTACCTGCCTTTTAGCATGGTCTGGGTTCTGATGCAAATGACTGACTTTCCCAGTTTGAAAGGCAGTCCATGACAAATAGTGGTATCTGAAAGAAGCAGCATGCTGCTTGAATTTTGTGTGTGCATCTGAGCTACCCAGTGCAATGGAATTAATCATTTCCAGGGCTTCATTAAAAATCCACAACTGCAGTTGGTTACTGTATTTTAATTACTCCACCTCCTTTTCTTTGTCTAGTGTGCTATCACTTTTCCATCTTCGTTCTGCTCTTTGACTGCTTTAGGATGTCCCTTCCAGCACCTGCATGCTTTGGGGCCTGTTGCTCGGTCGTTGCAGCGCACTGCCGAACTCCAGGGCATGCAGCGGCTGCGAGGAAAAGGCATTCTGAGTCCGTCAGAGCAGAGAGCTGTGAGGAGAGCATCACAGGGATGTTTGGTACGTGGTGGCTGGGGGATGCTCGAGGGCTTCCTTCTTAGACTACCAAGTTACCGAGAAAGGGGGATCTGCTGGAAGGGAAAGGAAACTCATGGGGCTCTCTGAGATTTGTCACCGAGTTGTGCTGTGGGAAAAGAAGAGAAAGCCAGAAGCGTGCTTGAATGCAGAGGGGCTGAGCTACTGAGGGCAAGGGTTGAGCTACAGAGAGACAAAAGGATTGAGGAGCTCTTGAGGGGTGAGCAAGGCTGGGACAGATGGCCTCATGTTTGAGCAGCAGGTTGGTAGGAGGTGTGGCTGAGCCCTGCTCTCCATCTCACTCTCATGCAGTGCTGGGTCCTGTGCAGCCAGGCACGTTGTGGTGCTGGAGCCTGGTTGCAACTGATGTCTTTCTCTCCATTTGCAGAGGCAGAGGAGCTCTACCAGAAAAGAGTTTTAACCATCACAGGAATCTGTGTTGCCTTGCTTGTGGTGGGCATCGTCTGTGTGGTAGCTTACTGTAAAACCAAGTGAGTATGTGTGATTAACAAACAACAACCGGTGAGAGATTGCTGAGTGGCAGTGATTGTGTGTCATGCTTTCATGGTGTTCACCCAAATGCTGTTTTGAGGAGATGCTGTGCTGTGGTATTCCCAGCAAGGTCTCTGAAGGGGGCCGATGAAGCCATCAACCATTCTGTCTGAGCAGGAAGTTTCCAATTTCTTTATCTCCTGAATCAGTATCATGTATCCAAACCAGGTGATGGCATGTGGCTGGAAGAAGCTGCCCCTTGAGTCAACAGCTTGTTGACAGCAGAAGCACAGTGGGCTAATGCCCAGGAGCTATGGGCTCAGTTGTTTACAGCTCTGGAACTTCCAAAGCAACAGTGATTGAGCAAGAGGCTTGGGGACCTCTTTCATGTCCAGCCTCCCCTGATTGGACAACACCTTTCTCCCCATGTGCACCTCACCTGTGTTTGGAGTGTCCATCTTTTACCAGGACACAGGAAGCCTTGTGAAGTTGATGTCCTCCCAGGGACACAGGGAGGCTTTCCTGTATTGTGCTTAATGCAGAACAGGAGCCTCGCCACCAAGGGCAAGCCAGGACTGGTTCCCCTTTCTCTTCTCCCCACTTCTCTGCGCCCAGCCCCATGCTTTCCCTGCCTCCACTGCATTGTCCTGGGGCTTGTCTTGCAAAACTGGACCCAACTCTGTGAATTGCCTATAGCAGAAAACATTCACATTTCTTTGGAAAGGCAGAGTAAGTGGCTAATGTTGAATGTCTCGCTTCCTTCCTCCTGTTCACGGCTTTCCACAAACACCGTTGAAACATAAAATGTGTCTGAGAGATGAATGAAAACCTGGTTGCTACCTCCTTTATCATCTGCTTTCTCCAGAAACACTTGGGCCCCATGAGAGAAATCCTCCTAATTTACTTTTTTCCTTTCCTTTTTAAAGGAAGCAAAGAAAACAGATGCATAATCATTTACGACAGAACATGTGTCATGCCCATCAGAACAGGAGCCTTGCAAATGGGCCAAGCCATCCGCGTTTGGATCCGGAGGAAATCCAAATGGCTGATGTAAGATCTTTTATAAGACCCTGTATTTTATTGAGTGCTCATTGTCTGTCAGGGATTTGATGTGGATTTGCATGCTTGCACCTGCCTGTGCCTGTGCATGAGGAACAAAATACAACTTGAACAAAAGGATGAGATTCTGCATAGAAACATTTCCCAAAACAAAATCTAGAGGGAATTGTGATTTTACTTTGACACACTGAGCATTGAGGGCACTCAGGACAGGTTTGTTTTTTGAAGTGTAATCCTGATATCCTCCCTGGAAGACATTCCCGATGTTTCCTGCTTATTAAGCTGTGCTGTTGAGCTTCATTTCATGGCATGATAAATCGGGTTAGCACAGCAGGGGCTCAGCCACCACAGTGACTGTGTCACCCGTTGTGGTGATCCAATCAGCTCCATGTCTGTCCACCTGCATGGCCCAGCTGCTCCTGTGCAAGGTGGGACAACCCAGTGGGGTGCCAGTGTCACTCTACTGAGAACCATCTAAGTATTTAGGATTGGATCCAGGAAAGCTGTTCAGCCACTCCTGAAACGTGAGAATCCCATTGAGCTCTGTGTTCTTGTTCTCAGCATGCTTAAGTGCCTTGCTTGGACCCAAGACATTGAATGGGATCAGAAAAAGGGAGAGGGAAGGCAGACCTGACACTGAAGCTATATTCCTCTGGGCTGAGGGTTTGCAGTTTCCCAACTTCTGAATATTTGCTTTGGAAATTTCCTTTTGCCTTCTCTCAGTGTTCTCTATGTGCAAAGGTTCATGTGCCATGCAGGGGGCACTGATTGCTGATAGAAAGCACAATGGTAGAATCACAGAATAGGATTGGAAGGGTCTTTAATGATTGTCCTGCTTTGGGTAGGAATACCTCCCACCAGCTCAGGCTGCCCAGGATCCCATCCAGCCTGGCTTAACCGCTGCCAGGGATGGAGCATCCACAACTTCTCTGGGCAGCGTGTGCCAAGGCCTCACCGCTTCTGAGTAAAGAACATCTTCATATGTCTAAGCTAAATCTCCCCTCTTTCAGTTACAAACCATTACCCCATATCCTATCACTGCATGCCCTTCTAGAATCAGCATCCTGAATGAGGTACAAGCTCTCCTGGGTCACCCTTGCGATGCTGAAATTTAGACAAATGGATAATTGGCCATGAAGGATAAGGGAAAGGAAAATTTAAAGAATCACAGCCATATGAACCTGAAATATCATCTCCCCCAGAGGCTTAGTCTCTCTGTGAAAAGCATGGCTGACCCTGCTTACTGTTAGGTGAAGGGGTATTTCAGCATAAATATTTGTATTACACTTGGTATGTCAGTAGGACTTGTGTCTATGACAGATTGCATGTGGTTGCCTTGTTGCTGGCACTCTGTTGGGTGTATAACCTCCTGCAAACAGATGGATTTCTGCTCAGTAGCATCAGCTATATGTGCTCCCTAAGCAATCTGGGGAAACCCTTGGCTCTTTGTAACCCTCTGTAGTCCCTGTATCATAGCTCCTTTCCAGTGTCCAAAGTGCAGAGGCAGAGGGGAGGGCACTGCATGGCATTTTTCAGTCTCCTTGTCGCCTCCCATGGGGCACAGAGCTGCAGAGTTCACTCAGTCCTCTTGGGATTTCACCAGAAGCAATCCAGCCAGCAGAATTTGGCAAGCTATTGGCTGATCTATGTGGTTCTTTATACTTTACAGTATATTTCTAAGAACGTTTCTGCCACTGAACACGTGATCCGGAGGGAAACAGAGACAACCTTTTCGGGAAGTCACTCCTGCTCACCGTCACATCACTGCTCCACAGCCACTCCAACATCCAGCCAGAGGTGATGTATGCCATTCACACTGAACTGCTGCTTGCCTTAGGATGCTGTGAGATTCAAAGCCAGTAAAAAGGTTTCCTTTCACCTCTCTGATTTTACTTGATGTTTGGCATCACATCATCATACAGGCCATGCCAATGCTTGCAGATCAGATTGTGTTGCTGGCATAACCAATTAGTGAGAGGTGTGGAAAGGTGTGATGCTTGATCTGCAGCAAAGAGCCAGCAGGAATGCATAGCACTGACATAGCGGGGAAGTAGGAGGAAATGAAGTAGTGCTTCCATGCCTTGCTCAGTCAAATAGGAGGATGCATCTAGGAATGCTTTTGCAACTTATGATTGCAATTACACTGCATGCCTGTGTTAATTCGTTAAGTATGCACAGGTTATTAATATAATGTTTGAGATATTTAGCATCTATTTGCCTTGCGTAAGGTAGAACATGAAAAATATCACTTTTTTTTTTTTTGAAGTTTTCACCAGAAAAAAGAACACTAATTTTTCACATTTTAAAATAGCCATCTTGGGGGAGAGCAGCCTGGCTTGGAGGCTGAAGTTCTCACTGGATTTGAGTGCATTTCTCCATTTGTGTGGTGCCCAGAAAAGTCTTTCAAATGCTCTAGAGAAAGCCCTGTGCTATTTGGAGCTTGGTTGTTCAGGTTTTTCCTCTTGCATAGCTCTTGTGCTTCCTCCAGTAAGCAACAGTGTTACCCTATGAGAGTGCCTGCTTTTGAGAAATGACTGGGGGGGGCCCTATCTACCTCCTGGCAATGGTCACACTGGATCCACTGCATGGACTTTGTCAAGCAAAAGATGTCGTGGCTGATTTACTATTAGCCCCGGGTGTTTGTATCCACTTGTCCAGGAAGCATACAGTCCTTTCAGGTAAAGCTCAACGATGTGTCCCAGCAGATTTCTTCCAGGTTCAAGCATTCATTAGGCAGTAGAACAACTTCAGATATCAAACCTGGGTTTTCAGGTAAATTCCTCCCCGGATTCCAACTGACTCAACCTCCAGCGAGCAGAGGGGGAGCCAAGAGTGACTTTTTGGGCTGGAAATGCCTGCCTTTAGCCAGGGAAATGCTACTCTTGGTGGGCAAATGGTGGTGCCTATTCCAGGCTTTTTTTTGAATTTTTACACTTCAACCCAAGCCTTGCTAGGTGTGTGCAGGCTTGAGCAAGGTATACAGAGGTTCCTCTTCCTGCAGAGCTACACCTTGATGGCATTACAGTTTGACTTGAGAGTCCTCAGACCCCATGGCCATCTCTGGGCACATCTGAAGATGCAAAGTTGTGTCTGAAGGGCAGTGTTAATACATGCCAGGTGTGGGAAGCACCTACCTTGCGTAGCCTCTGGTCCTGGCTACCTGCCATATAAATTTTCCTGAGTCAAGTGCAGCAAGCAGGTGTTTCTTGAAGTCATGCCAGAGGCAAACTGCTGGCAGAATCAGGTTCCATTTTACTCGATCAGCACCTCTAATGAGGATGCTTTTTGAAGTTATAAATTAATGTCATGGTTGCAACCAAGCATGTGCCCAGAGCCATCAATAATTAACATGTTCTTGGGAAGTTTTAATGAGGCCTCTGTAAACCCCCACACCAAACCCTCTGCCAGCACAGCTCCATCTGGTGCCATCTGGGAGTTCAGAGCTGTTGCTCCTGTGGGTTGTGTGTTTGTGCCACAGGAGAGCAGTCGGCCTGGTGGTGGTGGTGTGGGTGCAGGACTCCATGCTCTCCCATTGTGTGCGTGTGGGATGTCATCTCTACACCAAGCCAAGGGCAGGGATACCTCCAAGTGCTGCCCAACAGTACCCAGCATAGTGTAGTTTTTGTCTAGCTCCTTGAGCATATGTTGCTGCCAAAGTCTTTTATAAATGAATGGCAATGCTTTTCTATGTTGGTCACAATGTAATTCTGAGCCTTTTCTTCTGACTCTGTTCTGGTAGTATTTCAGAAGGGGCTGTTTCTTGGCAGTGTGTGCAGCGGCATTTCTGAAGGTCCTCTGCAGACTTGTTTTGGCATGGCCAGTGCATTGCTCTGCACCAAAATAAAGCAGAATTGCCCAGGCCACCCTGCAGAGGCTGTCCTACCCCGTCCCCAGCTGTCAGGAGGTGGTGCACTAAATACCCCATGTGTGCTGGGCTGCCTTTCTTTGTCCCTTAATGATACCTCCAAGAAATAGTAAGGAAAGCATATCAAAATTGGGCCTCCCTGGTCCAATGCATTCCAGCGAGAGAGAGAAAGGAGACATCAGTTCAGGGTGAGATCTGTGGCTGTGTGTAGCTTTTTGGAGAAGGCGTTGGCAGGGATTCCTTGTTCACTGTCCCTGTGGGCTTTGATTCACAGACACGAAAGCCACACCTGGAGCCTGGAGCGGACGGAGAGCCTGACTTCTGATTCCCAGTCCGGGATCATGCTGTCCTCGGTGGGAACCAGTAAATGCAACAGCCCTGCTTGTGTGGAGGCACGGGCCCGCCGTGGGGCTGCCTTCTGCATTGAGGACTCGCGGCGGCCCACGACGCAGTACCGCGACTCAGTGGACTCACTGCGGGACTCACCGCACAGCGAGAGGTCAGACCCCATGCAGCCCTGCCCCTCTGTGCCAGGCACAAACCTCCGCCCAGGCCTAGCACATCGCTCCTGTGGTAGTGCAGGAGAAACCCCAGCTCCGCTCCTGGAAGAAGCCATGGCCCCAGGAGGCCGCTTCGGTAGGGGCAGCAGTGTGCTTTGCACTGTGCCAAGGTGCCCCTGCTAACCAGGAGGCCATGTAGGTTTGGTGCACAGGTTTGGCACCAGCACAAACACAGCAGCTGAAAATATCTTGTTACAGCCGGTGAATTAAATCTGGCTGAGCTACTGGGTGGTGAGTACAGCCCAGGCCCTGGCAGAGGGGGAGGCAGACAGCTGGGACACAGCTCAAGCCAAGGCTGAGCCTCACCGTGATCCTTAGGGTGCGGAGCAAGTCCTCCACATACCTCTGGGTGGGATGGGGAGCAGACATACTGCTTGTCTGCAGCCTGGGTTCAGCGTGACTCAGTGCTGGGACACTGTCAGCCAGTGGCAGCTGTTGTCTTCATGGGCCCAGCTCCTCATGTTGCAGAAGCACATCTCCATGGTGCTGCAGCCTGGGTGGCCATCTAACCAGTTCCAGGCATTTCCTCTCAAAACAGTGGGACTGGTCCAGCGAAGGCAAGTTGTTCTCTTTTCTTTTCCTGGTCCATTCAGATGGCCTGCACAGACATCTCAGACTTCATGAGACATGAGGAGGGATAGGTAAACCTGGGGAGTGGGAGCAGGCTGAAATGAGTGGAGACAACACACACTGGCTTTACTGAGTGAAAAACAAAACCGCTACTTAGAAGGAAGTGATGCCAAAGGAAAGCCTATAAAGAGAGGGGCCAGACCACTGAGTCACCATGCTGATGTAAGTAGAGTAGATGAAGGCTTGTAGAGGCCTTTTGTATGGAAGATTTTTGCAAAGTTAGGTGAAGCAGTACCCAGGCTTCAGCATGTGAGGACCTCTGGGGGCCCTTCCCCAGGTAAGTGTGACAGCTGCAGAGGGAGCAGAAGGCAGTGGTGGGCAACCATGTCGGGTGAGAATTGTGATGTAAGGCTGAGTCCTGACGGCCGTGCTGGGCTCTCCCCAAGCCCCCTCTGGGCTGTGGGCTGCTCGGTGTCCAAATGGAGGTGTTCCTTTTTCAGGTACGTGTCGGCCCTGACCACACCAGCACGCCTGTCGCCTGTCGACTTCCACTACTCGATGGCGGCGCAGGTGCCCACCTTCGAGATCACCTCCCCCAACTCCGCGCACGCCGTCTCCCTGCCGCCAGCAGCCCCCATCAGCTTCCGCGTGGAGGAGCAGCAGCCCCTGCTGCGGCGGTACCAGCTGCCCTTCCAGGACACGCAGCGCTACGACAGCTACTACCAAAGGAAGACCTACCTGAACGACAGCATGGGGAGCCTGCCCTCCAGCCCCTTCCGCATCACGGAGGACGACGAATACGAGACGACGCAAGAGTACGTCACAGCGCTAGAGCAGCCAAAGAAAACAGCCAGCAGCAACAGGCGGTGGAAAAAGTCCAAACTGAACGGGCACGTCCCCCACAGAGCCAGAGCTGTCCGGGACTCCTTCTCCTTCAGCAGCGCCTCTTACAGCGAGTCTGATGAGGAGCTGGTGGCCGAGAGCACGCCCTTCCTAAGCACTCAGAACAATGAGGCGACAAACACAGAGTCGCCGCCGCTCCACCGGCCGGGCGACAGCCGGACTCAGCACCCCTACAGCCGGCACAGCGCCCACGGGGGCAGCGGGCGCAGCAGCCTGGCGCACACGACGCCCAAACGGGAGCCCGACCCCCTCTAGGCGCCCGGCAGACGCACCGCACGGGGGAGGCGGCGGAGGAAGGCGGAACAAACACGAGACAAAAATAAATATTTTTATTTTATATAAAAGAGAAAAAAAAATATAACAAATAAAATGTTTTATTTTCATTTTAGCAAAGTTGTCTTATAATAGCTAATGGCAATGACTTTTTTATAGGGAATCTCTATTTATATGTAATGTCTTGATTTACAGCTTCCGAGAAAAAAAAAAAAAAAGTAAAAAAAAAAAGAAGAAACGAAAACAAACAATAAAGTTAAAAAAAAAAGGTGGGCCAATTTTTGACTACTTAAAAATAGAAACTAAAACTATCGTGGTGCCTTTTGCTGTATGCTAGTGCTGGGATTCATGCTGAGGATTCTGTTTCAGTAGCATTTTTAAGATCATAGATTTTTGTTTGGGAGACGACCTGTCACAAGGGTGCTCTTCCGTCGGAAGAAAACAGCCTCACCACTCTGCCCCGTACCCTGCTATTAACGATCTTGTTCTTTAAGGTATTGTTTAACACACACCAAGGACGTGAGTGGGAGCATTTCCATTACCATGTCTGATGGGGATCTGTCTTGCCCTGTAAAATACTTGTATTTTTACTTAAATCAGGAGAAAAAGAAATCCAACAGCACCATCTCGAAATGCAGAAATGATGTTTCTTTTGCCGCACAGATAGGAGGAGAAAATGAAATCATGCAGCAGTAGCCCTTACCAAATAGCTCTCACAGTGCCACTTCCCGTGGGTCCGAAGTTGGGTTGGCACAGGTCGGTAGTCCAACGCGTGGGACATTTGTGTGACTGCGGCGGAATGCAGCGCCGTTCCGTACGGCTCAGTCTGGAACACTGCAGCCTGCCCTGGTGGATGGGTGGCAGCGCACGGTGGTTCCGGTGCCGCCCAGGACCCGGTGCTGTGCTGTCCGCGGTGTCCCCTGGGCCACGGTGCGGCGGTGGCCACGGTGCTGTGCGAGCTGCAGTGCTCCGTGTGCTGTGCTTGGAGCCGCACCTGGTAGCCGCTGGCCGTGCTGCCCTGGTGCCTGGCTCTGGCCCTGCTTGCAGACCCTCGGAAGGGCAGCGAGCCCCTGGGGGGCAGCCCAGCAAGCGGGTTCCTCGGTAGCGCCGTGCTGCGTGTTGTAAAGGCAGTTGTTACCCTCACATCTTGCTGTTGGTGACAGACGTCACGTTTCCAAACCCGGAGCAGCTCTGCCCGTCGGCTCTGTGGCGCAAAGAGACAGTCCTGTGTGTCCGGGTGGCAGAGCATCCCCGTGGAAGTGCCCCTCTCTCCTCAGTTCTCTGCAGCAAACCTGTTTACATTGTAGCCTGACTTTTTTCTTTTTATATTTTTACTTCTGCATGTCCTTTGCATTTCAGATACTGTAGATTGGATGCATGGTGAAGCTGTGACTGAGAAGATAATACAACAATTGACAGTGTATTTCATTTAACTTTTAGCAATAAAGTAACTAAACCCTCTATTCCTCACCCATGATGGGATCAGATAGAAAACTCTGCTAATTTGTCATAAGATGATTGTCAAAGTTTGCTCTGGATTGTCTGAATGTCAGAACTCTCGACTGTTTAACACTTGAACATTTTTTATATTATAAATAAAATAAGAAATAACAATCTGTGGGTGGCATTGATCTAAGGCAATCTGAGGGCAGAGGGGGACTGTGGCAAGGGCCACGCACGGAATCCCAGCTGCTGGAGCAGGCAGGGACCTCTGGACATTATCTAGTCCAACTCCTATTCAGGTGTCTTCACCTGCAGACTGGGGGATTCGTGCTGTGCTCCCACCCACAATCACATTTCTTTAGCTCTTGCAGGGCAAGACTGGCTAGCTAGCTCCCACACAGGGCAACCACAGAGAATATGGTGTGTTCACAGGAAGCACAATTCCTGAGCTTGTATCAGCCCGACAGGAGCAGGCAGAGAGCTTCTGACCCCTCCCAGGCATGGGGGATACCCCAGGGGGAGGATCCCTGTGGAAAGCAGACACAAAAAAGGGACAGACTGGTCCTTTAGGGGGAGGTGTGTTACTGCCCCATTTTTTGCAGGGCTCTCTGTTGCTCAGCACCTATCAGTAGTTCTGAGCCATGGCAGACTCACGATCTCTTGCAGTGATTTCTTGCTCAGTGTGCCCCTTGCTTCCGTAATTGTGTTCTATATTTGGAGGCAGTTACACTACCTCAATTTTCTCTCCCATTGCCTCTGAAGGAAGCCTGCATCTCTCTCCTTTTTCCCTTGCTGCTCTATTATTAGAGCCCTCATCTCCAGCCACGTGTGTTTCTAGCGTTTAGCCATAAATATTTTAGAGCAATTTTCACAGGTGGGGGGAGCCACTGGCACCTCCTGCCAGCACTGCTCTGCATGCACGATGCTGCCTCTCCCAGAGGGGTGGAACTACTTTGCAGACTCAGATGCAGGCAGCAGAGGAACGTGGGACCTTAGCTTTGGGATAGCAGAGCCTCTGGGCAAAGCTGTTGGCAGTGTGCCCTCTGGTAGGTCAGCACAATTGTAAAGGCATACGCACTTGGACCAGCCGTTGTGTATTAGGACAGTCATCAAGCACAGGTATAACTCCTGGGCTGAGGGCTCTTCACCGCAGGGTGTCACAAGCACTGGGTCAGGGCTCTGAGGCCCTTTCCTGGTGCCCAGAGAAGGTTTCGCCAGACCCTGCTCTTCTCTGCAACTTACTCCTTTAAAGAGGACGGCAAAATGGCACCTTCAGCTTGGGGACTGAGTAGTTCTTGGTGGCTTCTTCAGGCACACCGGAAGCAGCACTGCCTTCTGGAGGGGATGGCCAGAAAGGACAGGGTGAGGTGCCAGATATTACCTGGGATTATGCAGAGCAGGAGTTGGGCTTGATGTTCCCCATGGCTCTCACTGAGTCAGAGGCATCTCCAGCACCAGCAGTGTCTTGGAGGTCTTCCAGAGCAAGGGATTCTGCTGCTTGTCTAACACAGCAAAGGGCACAATGCGTTGGAGAAACAGCTCAATGTTGGCAAAGGCTCCTCTGAGCACAGTATCCAAAGCATCTCCAACTACTGGTGCAGATGTTGGCATCTTTTTCCTCCCAAAAACCTCCAGGCTGTGTGGGGACAGACAGACCTGGGGTGAGCCAGATTGAGGAAGAGTTACCTGAACATATTGCTAGAGCAGCCCATCTGCCTCACCAGCTCCTCTGCTGAGCCATCCACCCACAGCATGCGCATCCAAAGCATGGATGTGCAACACCCCGCTCATAGAAAGGCATTGCTGCTTTTTGGTGCTGTCCACAGGGGCTTGGCTTCCTCTTTGCAGGAGCTGATGGAGACCTGTGTGCATGTGGCCATCTAGGACTGCAAAGCCTGGGACCAATCCAGCACACACTGGAACCACATTTCAAACCAATTCTCTTTACCAACAGATTCAGCTTTATTGTTATTCTTTTTAACATGATTCTTAGTGCATCATTTCAAATAAACTACCAAACTGTACAAAGAAACTCAGAGATAAAAGAAGAGGTGATAAAATTGGGTGGAGGTTTTTAGTAGTACGAGCCATCATGGAAAACAGTAGTCCATAGGCTCTCAATTGTTGAAGATCCAAATAAATCTTGTTTTCTTTGTTTAAATAGTGCTGCAAAATATTAACAATAAACGACTGTAGTTAGCAGCTACAAGATCCTTCAAAACCGGAGCTTGGTTAACGTGAACACACCTAGGGGAAAGGAAAGCAATCTGAGATAAAGGACCAAACCAAACAGCAAAATAAATAAACAAGGTGTGGGAGGACAGTCGTGGCATTGAAATGCAGCAGAATCATTTCCAGTACAACGGTAAATCATCGAACCACAGGCAGCAGAAAGGAATGGAAACACAAGCCCCCCTTGAAAAGAGCATAGCATATGGATCGCAGAATGGAGAAAGTACGACACTGCTGGGCAGTCAGAACTGCTCCTGCACACAAAGGTTCAGCTGGACCTGAAGCATGGCTCCCATCGCGCCTCAAACCCAAAGCTGTGGATGGTCAGTAGCCACTTGGCCACTCTGTCTGAACAAGCAGGAACAGGAGAGCTGTTTCACAGCAAAGCCAGGTGGGATTTCCATCTGAGTGGAAAAAAAAAAAAGAAAAAAAGAAACCAAAAGCAAATGTAGGCATTTTTGCAGATGTCCAGGTGGACTGTCAGGCTCTCCATGGTCCCCAGTGTCTTCTCCAGGCAGCTTAACTTCTCTTGCACACTGAGGTTAAAAACCCACATTAAAGTCTCCTTATATATATATTTATTTATATATATATTCATATGTATGTATATTTATATATATATAAAAAGGATAAGGTGACAGAGGGCACTTCAGGTCTCTCCTGCCGTGGGCAGGCGCCTTTCCCACGCGCTGTGCTGGAGATGCCTCTCGCATGGCCAGTGACTATCGCACAGAAGGACCCTGTTGTGATACGTCCTGCCAAGGACGGAGCTCCTCTCGTGGCAGGGACACGCTCCTGCTGCTCTGAGCCCTGCGCCCACAGCACTGCTGGTGCCACAGAGCCCAGTGTGTTGGCCGAGTTTCCTGCACTGCTGGGAACCGCGGACGTGAACCGGTGGAAACTCCAGGGAGAGGAGGAGGAGGAAGGAGAGAGAGGGCTGGTGGGAGAGAGCAACCAGGCCCTGGAGAGTAAGCGTATCCCTTTATTGTGCAGGCTGCAGTAAGAGGGAAAGAAAAGCCACTGGTGCTGTTGGGGACAAAGAAGAGATGGAGTATCTATGATGCTGAAATGCCAGAGCGTTGCCAAGGAGTGTCAACTAAAGCTTCTTTGACTTCTTTCACTAGAGCAGTCACCGTGTCATACACATCTATGGTTTTGTTTGTATTATTTCCTAGGTAAAATTGTGCTCATTGATCTAGTCCAGGAGCGCAAAGCACCGCCGGTTCATTCCCCCTGCGTGCACGTTCCTTGTTAAGTGTTCTGCTCTATTATGTCCTTTTCCACCTTACAGCTAACAGACATATGCCCTTGGCTCAAAGAAGGGCTGGAATGTGTCTTCCGCAAAGCAATGTCATCAGCTTCCACCTTGAAGAAGCTGGTTTCAATTCTCTCCAGGTCATCTGTCCCAACTTTGATCTTCATGCACAGCAGGTTGATGTATGTCTCGTAGCGGCTTTTCTGCAGGGGAAGAGGGAACAGACAGAAAGCCTGTGAACAGGGACAGGCCAGTGTGGAAAGCAGTGGCAATGCCATCTGCTGCTGCAGGAAAACACATTCTATATTGTCAGCACCCCACTATTCTTGCCCTACAACAATGCCTGCTCCAAGCAACGCCTGAGAAGGCTGATCAGAAAGGGGATGGCTGTGCAAGCCTCTCCTGCTGCTCTGACAGGTCTTGAGTGCAGCTCCGATTGTTTCGGGTGTGCACTGGGGGCAGATGCAGACAGCAGATCCGCTCCTTCCTGCCTCGGGACATTCCTGCCCATCTGGGAAGTCCATGACAATGTCTGCACTGAGCGCACAGGGAGCTTCCCTCGGTTTGGTATGAATCCTTCTGCTCACATTGTTTCCATCCAGAAAGTGATCCTCACTGCTAAGTCATGCCCTCATTGCTCTCTGCTGTTGCAGGCATCTCCTCGCTGCCTGACACTGTTATTCCAACACTAGATGGGACCTCTTTCTACAGACTTATGTAACACCCCACTCCTTTATTCTCATATCTCAAAGGAAGCCTACACTCGCTTCTCTGTCAACACAGGGAAACAAGCATTTCTAGAGCACATCTCATGAAACTGACGAGATGAATCACACTCTGGAAGTGCCAGCTTCTTGCAGACTGAAAAGCTTGGACGGAGGTTTCCCTTTTGCAGGCACTGAAAACAAGATGTCTGCAAAACGGGGTGGCTGCAGGCAGCTATCTAGAGGGCTGGCACAAACACAGCAGCCACAAACTATGGCACTGCAGATTCAGGCTGAAGGCGACAAGATGATCTTTCTTCAAGAGGGTGGTGGAGACCTGGAGTGTGGCCAACAGATTTCCAAGAGATGGCCAGAAAATGCCCTCCAGCCCAGGCTAATGCTGGGAATAGCCTAAACTCCTGCCTCCAGCAGTGCCTTCCCCAGTGCCTCTGGGTCAGAATTCCTATCTTGTGCTCAACTCTATCTGGAACCAAAGATTCCATTTCTCCCATTAAATGCTTTGCAGAGCATTTAGACTGAGCTCCACACACCCTCAAAAACTCTATAATCACCTGTAATGCTGCTTTTGGCTTTATTTACAGAAACAGCTGCAGCAAAACAAGACTCATTTCCCACGGCTTTTTTATTATGTTGCTGAAAATGGCTGAGGAACACTGAGGATTGAATTACTCCCTTATTTAGGACCTGAGGAAATTTCAAGTTCCATCACAATAAAGGAAGATTTTATTTCTCTCATCAGTTTTCCCCTCCTCAGGTTAGAAATCACAGAGGGGAGGCAATGTCTGTTCATTCTTTTTTTAGATTTAAAGGAAAACAGTGAGGCTTATCACTGTCACACAGAACGCATCCAGCTCCTGAGTTCTCTCCTCTCACTCCCCCCGGCTCACAGCACCCACTCCAGAGTTCTCAGTTCTCCTCAATCAGCCAAGATATCATTTTTCACAGAAAAGATGAAAGTTTTGAGTTTACCTCAAAAATTAGGTAATGTTCTTTGAGCCTGTACTCTTCAGCCTCTTTTGACTTGAGGCTCTTCTCTACAGGATGTGATTTATGCTCTGCTAATTCGTCTGCAATCTGCTTCATTTTATTTTCATGAGACCTCAGCTGTTCCTCCTGCCGAGAGAAGCGTGTCAGGTATTAAAATGTAGGAATGCACCGCCTCACTGTTGGTGTGGGACCTGTATCTGCAAGGATGTATGCCCTGCAAGGATGCAGCCCAGGGCATGCAGCACATTTGTAAATTCATCTGGTAACGAGCAGCTGAAGCACAGGTATTTGAGGAAGATCAAAACTCACGTGCCAGCACCTGGGCATCACAAACATGAAACCTCTGCATCCTTATCTAATATGCAGGCAGAACTAGCTGTGCCTTCAGAGCTTGTGCATCTGTGCTCTCTGGAGAGAAAGCACCCTCCCAGTCTGGGCTCTGACACCTACTCAGAAGGCAGAACTGCATCCCTGTTCAGATCCTTTCAGGATGGCCTCTCCCTTCTCCTTTGCTGAGGGGCAGTGTGTTCCCACTGCTTGGAATTTTCGGTGCTCCCCAGGCACTGCAAACAAGAGCTGCTCTTCAGGTGGCAGCTGCCCACTGCACTTGGCTAACAGAGCCGTGCTCTGCTGCGCTGTGCCCCACATCCAGTAAGCCTTCCCCCTCAGTGGGACTCAGGCTCTGTAGCTTTCCAGCCTAAGAAACAACAGGCTGCCACCTCTGGGTGCCATGTTATGAAAGAACCGGGCCTGCTGAGTTCAGCAGCACCTGTTGGTTCAACCCTGCTCAACAGAAAGCTGCTGAGACGTGCTGGATAGCAAGCAATAAACAAGATCAACAACCGTACAGGTGAGTGTGTGTACATAGCGATCATTTATGTTCACTGCAAAGGAAGCATCATCCAGACACCAAAGTTCACCATGGTTTGTCCAAATCACCCACTCTACTTGCCTGCTCCTGCCCTGTAGGCAGTGTGTGCTGCTTTGAGCACCTGCACGCGTCCACCAGGCAGAGTTGGAGGAGCTGCAGATGTGCTCAGCCTGAGCTGTGTGCTTATGCCTGAGCACTAGGCACTCCACTGCAGCTCCTCTCGCACTTTACCTGACACAGCTTGGTCATGGACGAAGGCAGAAGTGGGCGGCAGAACTTCTTCATGGAGCAGATGGCAGCTGGGAAGGCTGGGGCAGAGAAAATGGCAGCAACGAGGTTGATTCGCAGGATCCAGGATAGCATTTCTTCCTTACTTCTGTTACAAAGGAGGTGAGAAGAGAGGGTAGTCTCTAAGTGCTCCTAACCAGGACTGGCTCCAGACAGCCCTAGAGCCACCTTTGCCCTTGGTTTGCAGCCATTCCTGGGCTGCCACCTTGCGAAGGGGAACACACTGGCTAACTGTCTGTTCTGCATTGCCCTCGTGACTGCAGGGCTGTCCCTGGGAGTCCTGCCCTCCTTGGCAGCTCCAGTTATAGTCCTCGAGGAGCTGGGCAGGGGCTGGTGGCAAGGGGCAAGGGTATCCCACTCTTTGGAGCCACACAACAGAGGTCTCCTGAAACAGAGTGAAGCCCTTAGGTGCTCATGGGACCCAGTCCAGGGTTTCTCATCAGACCTGTTTAGCACCGCTCCCACCAGGCTTCAGGTGGGCTTTCAGTGCAGAAATCCAGATGACGTAGCCGTATGCTGATGCTAATGCCCCACCCCAGCTCCAAGCCAAGCTCCCTGATGGCAGCTGGCGGCAACGGAGCATCAAGCAGGAGACAGCTCAACCACACCTGACACTTCGTAATAAAGCGGCTTTCCTCTGCAACAGACTAAGGAAAGAAGAAATGGCTTGGCTGAGAGTTCGTTAATGAGCTTTAGCCACTTTCCCCATCAAAGGCTGACGAGGAGAACTGTCAGCTCCTTGGTTCATCGCACCATGTGGGTTTTCTCCTTTCTGCAGACCGACAGCACACATCAGTAAGGGGAGAGCTGCAGTGAGGACACACCCACGCTGGGGACAACGGGGCAGCGTCTGTCTGGAGGCCCAGCGGTGGTTTCGGGCCGGCCAGCAGCTGCAGTCCCAGCTGCTTGCAGTTTGGCAAGGTCAGGTCTGTGTGGGCACCCCACAGCTAGCACTGGCGTGTAACTTTTGGGTGGTATTTAAAGCACATTTTGAAACAGGAGAGGAAGCCACGTCCCTCCTCAGCCTTCGCCTCCATCGTGCCCTGCCCCTGACGTGTGAGCTGACGGGGCGGGGGCCCTGCTGGCAGCTGGCGCTGTACTTACGGAGCCTGGAAGAGGAAGACTCTCCAGTCAGCTGTCTTCAGCTTGAGCACATTGGACTTCTTGCTGTAGTCAGAGGCTTTTGTGGCTAAGGCGTGGTGCACACGGATGGCATTTTTCAGATCCACTTCAGAGAGGTCTTTGTCAGGTTTGTATTCATCCTGTGAAGAAGGAACGTTAATTGGATAATGACTGTGCTAACATCTGTGGGCTACTTTAATGAACCTGCCTTTCTCTGTGTGCTGTAATCACAGAGTACCAAGACCAGGAAAAGCACTGCTTTGTACAGTAAATGCTAGGAGCTGATAATGATAATAATTAACATCTGGCAACTTCTTCCATCATTAAGTTCACTGGGAAGATGTGAAGAAGGAGATGAAAGTTTTAAACATAATTATCGATAGTTCTCTCTAACACGGCACATGCCTGAGGCTTTGGGGGAAGACATGAGACAGGGCTAGGCTGGCTTCTGCAGAGTTTCACCTTCTGTGCACAGCGCGTGCCGAGGTGCAGCTCCAAGCCCAGGGAGGGCTTCACGGACACTTGGCAGAGCGAGCGTGCTTGGTCCATACCTGGCCTCCCTTGAGTATGTGTGACACCTTGGCACACTCTTTCATGTAATTAGTTACACAGACACTCATAAACTGTAATGGTGCTCCCTGTATTCTTGCTGTACTTTCCCCTTCGGAGGATAATTTCACACAATCAGGGAGTACAGAAGTAACTATATGTGTATTCATTTATGAACACACAGAAAACACTAGACACAAGATCCTGAAAATCTGGGCATGGCACTTTTTTGGAAAAAGAAGAATGTAGCCAACCCTGTGCTCACCCTTTGCTTTCCCTGTGACTGAGATGCAGCTACTTAGAGAAGTAACATCCCTCTCACTCTGCCCCTCACTGGCTCAACAGCTGGTCCACTGGTGAGGCAAGATGATGGATGGGTGGATGGATGGATGGATGGATGGATGCATAGGTGGATGTGTGGATTGAAGGATGAACAAGTGGATGTGAGAAAACCTGACTGTAATTAAAACAACCTCCCACAAACACTCAGCTCTGGTGGTGTTGTGCTCCCTGACCTTGACCAGCCTCATGATGTGGCTGTATGGCTGTGCTGCCACAGAACTGTGGGCAGAATTGCCTTTTTGGATGGCTACTTAAGCTGCTGTGAAATGACCGTGTCAGAGCCCAGACCAGGGCAGGGTGTCTCTGGAAGGGCCTACCTATAACACAAACCTACAGGATTGCGTGATGTTGCCAACCCTAGCCAGTAAGGATGTTCTCTGGTGCTGGAAAACATTAGTTTTCTCTCTGCTGCTCTTTAGAGCACAAGGGTCCAGCGCACCCCAGCCTATGAATGTGCCTCCCCAGAGCCTTGCTCCTGATGGGAAACAGGCTTCTGAAGTCTTTCCCTCCCTTCTTTTCTGGAGCAATCATCCCAACCCAGGGTGGCTGCTGTACTGCACGTGACGCTTGGCTTTGTGCACAGAAATGCTATGGCACAAAGGGCCCAGAAAAGTCTGGCATGGGTTCCTGCCTCATGCATCTGCCTCCTTGAGGGTGAACCACAAAGAAAAGCCATCTCTCTCCAGCACAGGAAGAGGTGGGTGCTGCAGGCTCCCTGTGTTCGGTGTGACATTCAGAAGGGCTGCACCAAGGACGGTACAGACAATCTTTCTGCAGTGTGCTACTGTAGCGTTACTTGCTTTGGAGCTCCTCAGAAATGCAAGCCACAGCTCTATGTCTATGTTTGGCAGAGCTGATTGCAGGAGTCACACTGAGGGTTTCAGTAGCAGTGGGCAGTGAGGAATGGGCAGTGAGCCGTTAAGGGAAGAAAAACAAGTACTTTGACTTAGGAGGACCTGTGTGACCTGATGTAGATGCTCCTGCTCCAGCAGGGGGATTGAACTAGACGATCTTTCAAGGTCTCTTCCAATCTGTGATATTCTGTGATACATTAGTTCACTTGTCAGCAAATAGGTGCATGAGGGAGACCATGCTGCTATGTTATAGAGACACATTCAAGTCTGGATGCTTTTCCACAGCTGAAACTCCTGGGATCTGAAGAAAACAGACTGAGAGTGCCATGATCTCTTATTTCAGGATAAACTTTACTAAAAACGTGGTGTGAGAAGCTGGACTTAACAGCATGCAACAAGAAACTGCCACAGCTGCAGGCTGGTCTGACTAATGCAGATCTTCACCCTAAACCAGTTGCTGCCTCTACCGACACCAGGCTCATGGGGATCAGTGGATGTGTAATGAAAAGCCAGACCTTTTCTACCACCTGGGCCCAGGCAATCAACATCAGGTTGAATCAAGGAGGTTCTTGGCCTTGTGCCTCCCTGCTGGTGGCGGGGTGTGCAGGACTGCATTGTGCTGCAGGCTCACTTCTGCACAGGCCAGCCATGCCAGGAAGCTCATTTCAGTGCCCGTGCTGCAGGGTTCAGCAAGATATGTACTGCTGCTGAGGCAGGGAGATCCGTGTCTGCATTCTCCACAAGCAGCTTCAAGGTTGTGTGATGCCACATGGTCAGCAGGAGCCTTCACAGTGCCCAGCACTTACAGTGCTGTGCAGCCTCCCTGGCAGAACAGTTCCACTGCCCTCCAGCAAAGTGGGCCAGTTCTGCTTTGAAGCCTCCAGAATCTTCTCTGCATCTTCCCTCAGTATCTTCCTGAGTTTTGATGGAAATAGAAGCTAGTGTTTAAGCAAATGCTGCTGAAGGAATGTCCAAAAACCTAAGCGTAACATGGATGCTTCCAGTGAAGGAATTCTGGCTTAAATTTCAAAGAAAACTGATATATACTAAAACATAAGCATTGTCCTGCCATGTTTGGAGGAATTGCAGGCAATGTTTTCTCCCTGCTGTCATACGCTAATTTTCCTCTCATCTTTTCCAATTATGGTGTTATCTTTCCACATATTTTCAGGCAGGGAGATCAATGAGGTACCACAGTGCTGCTGAATTTATGCCTTCTGTGTCCTGCATTGTTCATGTAGGCACTTGTCATGGGGCAGCAGGCAAGGTGCAATCTGCTCTGCCTGGGGGACGCTGTCTTGTTGTCCCACTTTCAGAATGCTTTGGGGATATCTCCTGCAGGAACTGAGCCCACGTGTGGGTGTGAGGGATTTCACAGCCCCTCAAAGATCATTTCATTCACTTTCAACTTCAATGCTGATGATGTAGACAGACTCCCTATTCACCTGTCCCTCCTGCATAAGAGGCTCTGCATAAACATGCACAACCATCCCCTTGCCTGGACGTACGTTCTGCCATAGGAGTGCTCCATAGGAGCACAAAGGCCAAAGTGGCCTTTGTTCAGTCTCTCCACTGCTGCCCACTCCCATGAGCAGTGAGACATACCTCGTAGAAGCTTGCTGTTAGTTTTCTTCAAGAAAGGGCATCTATCTCTTGTACATGTGTTGGTAGGACACCTGGATGGGTGAAAGCCCACCACGGATTCTGCTGCCCTCTCATCTGAACGACAGTAATTGAATACGGGCATGGAGCTACAGGGATTTTACTCTACAGCTTGCAAGAGGTTTTCCTCATTTTCTTCAGCTAGCATGTGCTGTGTCCAATGAGGAAAGCTAAGCGTTGCCCCTGTTCAGTCTGTCCAGAAACATGGCGCTCCAAGCAAGGCCTGTCTGCACGGAACATAGCTGCAGCCCGGCGCAGCGCTGGGAAGCACTGAGACCCAGGCCCTTTCCAGTACTTCCACACAAAAAGCACCCTCCGCATTCCTCTCAACACTCCTCTACCTGTGCTGATTAAAGGCTATTATCCCCATTTCACAGAGGTGAAGTAAGTTGCCAAAGGCCATAGAGTGAATCAGTGCTCACTGTGGATTAGGGTGCAAGAGAGGTGTGCCCTACTCACAAGCCTGCATTTCTTCCTCAAGTCTCTGCTGCATCCCTTTAGGGAATCAAGCAATTGCTTCAGCAGGCTGTGCTAGAACACGCTAATCCAGAAATTAACACTGGCGAGTCAATGACACGCCACATCTTTACATCAGCAAGTTTATGGCTGCTGCCTGAACTGCTTCTACCAGACTGCCTTCTACTCATCCACCCACTTCTCGGCCTACCTTATGCCCACTCTCTGCATCTTTCTGTTCCCCTCCTTCTACATGTCCATCTTCCCAAGCCCTCTCTTTCACTCTCCCTTCTTCCCACTCTCCTCTTTCTGTGCCTCCCTTCTAGCCAGCTTGTTCCTCAAGACTCACCTGCACTGCCTTCTGAGAGCTTCCTATTGAAGATGCGATCTTTGGTTCAGTATGAGCAAAATGTGGAAGAGGCTGAACCAAGTCCCATGTGTCTGGAAGCAGATGCATTTTCCTCTATCTTTATGTTTGAACATCTCTTCTGAGAGATTTGTCCTTGAGCCAGGTTCTATCTTATGTTTATCTGCAAGCATCTTCCATGAGAGCTTAGGAGTCAAGCACCCAGTTTCCTTCCTGTATTGTGCAACTCTGCAAACTACCCATAGGCAAGAAATTGTACTAGGAATCAACAGGGTGTGTTGAAGTTTACGGCACTCTGTTGTGATTCTAAAACTGCTCCGAAGTTGCAACGCAAGGACTCAGTCTTTGTGGCCTCATCTTTTTGTCCTCCCTCTGCAAAGCCCAGTGGATACTGTGTCTGCAGCCGAACCCAGCCCAGGGAGTCCTTTTAAGGGGTCCATACGCAGTCTAACAGCAGCGCACAAGTAAGAAATCTCTCCTTGCTCAAATTCTTTGCCAAAATTTTCCTCAGATTAATTTTTTATTGTTCCTTATGCTGTTTCCTTGGGACACCCTCAGCAATTCTGCTACTTTCTGCATGACTGACACATCACACATGGCTGCTTTATTTCAGGCACCATTATAATGTAGCCAGATCTCAGGTGTTTTGCTTCTTCAGCCCTTCCTGGTAAAGAAAGCACTCAGTCTTTTAACCATTTTCTCCTGAAGGTCACCAAGATAAACACATTAGCCTTCTAACAGCCATGTACCTCTGTGTATCTCATCCTCAATCTCTTTTTAAATGGCAAACTCCTAATACTAACAAAACAAGCTGTGTTAGTGAAGCAGTCTGGACAACCTCCGGCCTTGTACAGCAAGCAAAAGCCAACCCCTCCACCCCACCAGCAGCAATGACACTCAGTCTTTGTCTCATAGCTTCTTCTAGTGTTTCTAAACAGAGAATCTTCAGCAAACTGGATTTTGTTCCAGACTGGCAAGAAAATTGTATCCTGACAGCGTATTCCATTCAAAATGTATGCTCCTTCAACAGACTCATCCCAAGACACAGAACCTAAAAGTGATTGGTGAAAAATTACTGAATCGCAGAATTATAGGTGTTGGAAGGGGCCTCTGTTGATCACTGAGTCCAACTCCCCTGCTGAAGCAGTTCCCTACAGCAGGATGACAGGAAAATGTCCGGGTGGGTTTTGAATATATCCAAAGGAGACTCCACCACCTCTGTGAGAAGAGGTTCCTTTGCTGTCACTCCCAAAGTAAAGAAGTTCTTTCTCATGTTTAGATGGAACTTCCTGGGCTTCAGTTTGTGCCTGTTGCCCTTTGTGCCTTGCTGGGCAAAACTGAAAAGAACCTGGCTCCATCCATGTGATTCCCACCCTTCAGATATTTATGAACACTGAAAAGATCTCCAAATTCATTCAAATCAAACCACTTCCTGTGATACTGATGGAATAGCAGTGTTTTTTTTTTTCATAGAAAAACTGTCAAAAAATCAAAAGGTGCTTGCAGCTTTGTGCTATATAAATCCTTGTGTGTAATCCATGGTCAGCCTGAGGATCTCTTCACTGGACTCTACACACACACCTGCACTGAGACTAATTCTGGGCTGTAAGAAGAGTACCACTGACTTGAAGTTGGCCAAGCTTAGAGTGCTGGAAAAGATTTTGTGTGCTGCAGCTTCCCTCAGCTGCAGGAGAGAGTGGCAAGGCTGTTAAAACACCACATAGCAAATTACAATTAGCTGCTGCCAGATTTCCATTGGCTTTGTGACATGTGCCATAGGATCTGGCAAAACACGAGAAACATTGGGGTGTGCTAGGAGCTCTGAGTCATAATTCTGTGCTGCCCTGAGGATCTTTCTGCCTCTTATATAATCCAATGTTTGTTTATTTCTATTGCTTTGGAGATAATACTGCAATACGTAGGAACATCTACCCACAGGGAGTGCTGTTCCAGCAAGGTGAGTTCAATGGGTTACTTCACTGCATTTGCAACTGAAGTAGTTCAGACCTAGTTCAGTGGGTTATGCAGCTTCGTGATGAACAGACATTTGGCATCCCTGGCTGGCTCTCACTAACATTCAAGTGAGGCCTTATCCAGGCTCCTTACATATTCCCACAGAAAAGACTACCCATGGAAATCCTCCTAGCATCCTTCAAAGACAGAGAGGTGAATGCCACAGCATGCAGGAAGGGTCTTCCATGGTGACTCTGCTACCCACGGGAACCCAGTCTTTATACTCAAGGTGGCAATGGAACTGGGGAGCTGAAGAAAAATCTATGGAACAGAGTGCAGAAAGTGTCACTTGGCAGCCAATCAAAGACAAAAAGCTTTAAGCAAGGAGATGTTCAGATCAGATTCATCAGACTCATGAGAGATAATTATGCTCAGATCTATTCCAACAAACAGAACAATCAGGACAAGACTGCTCTGACAGTCTGCCTCTTCAATTTCCTGAATTCCATCCTATTGCATCTATTCCATATATGTTCAGTCCTACTCCTCAGCATCCTCTGCTTACTTACATTTTTTGCTTACGCGTCTGCACAAGTCTCGCCTCTATATTTCCTCTTTTGTATTCCTTCCTATGTGACTCACTTTTGAGGCTGTGAATGGCACCATTAGTGTGAACACCACCATCAAAGACGATGGCATTCTCCAGTTCTGTATACTGGTCTCTGGAGGAGTTCTGTTAATGTCCATGCATGCATTAAGACATAGATTCACCTCTACTTGCATGTATGGGCTTCCTAAAGTACGACTGCTTTGGAAACAGCATGAAACAGCAAATGGGATAGTCCACCACAGTTACCTTTTGTAAATAAAGGATGGTCCCTTTAAGCACGGCATAAAATTTCTTCCAACCTCTTCTTCCTCTGGGAGCTAAAAAAAATGAATATCTAATTATACACATCTGCTTCTGACAGTACTGCTTGACTTTCACATGTTTGTACAAAACCAATCTTTTCCTGACTACCACAGGCATGCATTTATGCCCACATCTCATACACCTCCAAGCTACTCTTTATGAATGATTTGTCTGCAGGGAGATGTCAATTTGAGAGACATGGCCTGGGAGATTAAATCTCCCAGTGAGAACACAAGCAGCTCAAAACCAGAGATGAGCTGGTTACAGTGCTACCAGTGGACATGTACAGGAAGTCTCTCTGCTCCTCCAAATCCAGGTTCCTGTTCTTTGGACTGTATGCTTGAGGAGCAGAGACATTCCCTGACTTCTCTGGTTCGGATGAGTTAGGCAGACATACCCTGGCTAAAACAGCTTCTCTCCACTGAGGAGGGAACATTACCACCCACAGTCTTGATGGACTTGGAGAAAGAAAGCTTGCTGAAAACTGGAGAAGGGTGGAAGACGGGCCTGACTACATCACAAGAGAGCTGGTCCTCCAGACATGGGCTACTAAGAAAGTACTGGAAGCAAGGGAGGCCTTTGATGGCAATCCTCTCTATTCAAGAGTTTCAATTGGCTGCAGTGAGTAGGGCATCTATATCAGCAAAAGTGGTCATCTAAGATTTCATTTCATTAATCACTGCTCATTAACAGTTCCCAAATATAATTCCATTTACTTTTCCTGTAATACAGTATACTGACAGCAGAGCTATGAAGCAACTTGTTGCCCAGCAGCCTGTATACATGTCGGCATATAGACAGGACCAAAGCTTTGTAGACCAGACTGTCCCCAGAGTCAGCCTGGGGGGACAGATTTTGTGAACTAGCCTTGCCTATTGCTCAGAGTGTAGGGTTTGGGGTTATGCTCATGAACAGGATGGAAGACCAGGTCTATCTGTGTGGGACAGGCATTGCTAGTGTCCTTGGAAGTGAGAGTGCCTCAAAACACCCTCCTTGCCCTGTGCACTGGTGCTTATGCATCTGGGGGTCTCTTCTGCGTTCCCTGGGATATAGTGAGAAAATGCCACTCCAGTGGGAGAGCAAGGGAGAAGGCTAGGGCAAGGCTTTGTTACTGCCTGGGGCACGTCTCCTGTCCCATTAACACATACTTCTCTTCCCATCCATGTCTGCATGGGTTTTGCGCGTGAGGACACCGTGCTTGTAGGTGACTGCATTCAGCGCTTGGGGGATGTCCAGGAAGGGGTTGCTGCTGTCAACAATCCTTGTCACTTTCTTTGCACTGGCTCCAAATTTGTCGTCTACCAACTCCGAGAGCGATTTCCTCAACTCGTCCTCATCACTTGGAAACAAATTCAAAGAAGACATTGAGTGGAGGACACATGGATTGGGTCACAGTGTGCCCTATCTGCTTTGGTCTTACAGGGAGTTCATTTATTATAAGACTAGTCAAAAAAAGAAAAGGAAAGGAGACCCAGGGACCGTAACACACCAAGTGTGCCAATGGTGATGATCTACGTAGAACTGGGAGGAGTGTGAGTGGCAGGTGACCGTCCCAGGGGTCCCACTGTAAGGTTACCGAAAATGCTAAAGGCTTAGGTACCTACCCTAAAGGGTCTGAACACCAGGAGTGCGCAGACACTGCACTGCTGAGCACTCTGTGCCTTTCACAGGGAGAGTCCCCTACTCCGAGCCTCACATTCACAGCTTGGGGAGGTCTTTTGCTGAAGACCAGGTACCACAGGGTTTATCAACTCCTCCTTCTGAGGCAGCTGCTGGGGCCTCCTAGGTACCAAAGGAGCTTTAGGAATGTTTTCTGCATCTCTGAGGCACAAAAGCTCCACAGATATTAGGGAGATGAAGCACTTGGTCAAACAACCACAAACAGGAATAGGCTATGCATCCGTCTCCATTTGTGGCCAGGAGACTTCAAGAAATGCTGGTGATTTCCATAAAAACTTCTCGCACATCTCCTGCTCCTGGACTCTGGACAGCAAGGGTTGGGCAGCTCAGGGAAACACTCAGTGACTCCCCCAAGCCTGCTTCTTCCTATCTGAAGTAAAATCTACAGTAGCACATAGAAACTAGAACCTGTATGGGAAACGCTACTTCCGAGCGCGCGACCCGCTCCCCGGACACGAGCACCTACGGCACGTGGCTGGGCGGCGCGGGCGGGAACGCCTCACTGCGCAGGCGGCCACAAAGCGGCGGCAGAGGGAGCGGGACGGAGAGCGGCTGGCACCCGGTGCCGGGCACCACGGGCGCGGCCGAGAGCCGCAGCCGCGCCAAGCGAGGCACCGCCGTGCCGGGTGCCGGCGGCTCGCACAGCCCGGCGTCGCTCCGGCAGGCCGGGCCGCTGGCTGAGCGCTGCCCGCAGCGCCCGCTGAAGCGCCGCACGACGCGGCCGGGAGAGCGGCAGGGCTCCCTCTGCTGACCGCCCCTCCAGCGGCTCTGCGCCGCCACTGCGGAGCCGGCACCGGGGCTTTGCTAAGGCTGTCGTCAAAGCGCTACCTGAGCGCTAAGGAGCCGCTGCCGCTCCGGGGCCGCCGCCTGGCCGGGCATCGCGGCACCCGCCGGCCCTGCGGGGACACCTTTGTCCTGTGGGACAAAGCTCTGCCCGGCAGCTTCAGAGGGAGGGAGAAGCGAGCCGCCTCCGGGCACTTCTCCACGTGAGCATCGGGCAATGCATAAAACGGCACAGAAGGTCCCGTTCGTCCCACGAGCTGTGGAGACAAAGCAGTCCCGCGCTGCCCCGTGGCCCCAGGTCTGCCCCGGGCTCTCCTCAGGGGCCGGGGCTGGGAGCTCGCTGCACCGCCGTGCCGGGATCCTGCCGTGCTGCAGGCGCACGGCGGCGGCACAGAAGGGCAGGGAGCTCTGCGGGACGCTGCCTGGAGGCCGCCACGAGAGCTGCTCCCAGACCTGTCACCTTTCAGGGCAGCAGGGGGTGAGCGCGTTGTCTGTGTGTGGCTGAAGGGGAACGGATTTATTTCGCTTAATATCTTTATTAATGATTTGGAGGAGGAGACAGAGTGCGTCTCATCAAGTATGACATAAAAGCAGGTTGTGCGGCTGATACTCTGGAGAGCTGGGGCACCAGTCAGAGGGACGGCAGTCTCACTGAATGCAGCACAGACTGATGCTAAGTACTGCACTGGAGTGCTCCTGCAGAAGGACAGACTGGAATTGACTGACTGGGGAGCAGCTCTGCAGAAAAGGCGCAGGGGTTCCTGGCAAACAGCTGGACAAACACGAGCCAGCAGTATGGCCTGGCAGAACCAGCAGCCAAGAGCGTTGTGGGCTGTATGAACAGTAGCACAGGGCAGAGACTAAGAGAAGTGACCACTGCCCTCTACTTACGACATCATATCTACACACAGCAACCAGTACTGGGCCCCAATACAAGGAAAATGTCAACAAGCTGGAGAGTTTAGCACCACCAGGATGCCCAGAGGCTGGAGTACTTGCTCTTGAGAACTGACTACGGGAAGTGGAACTGCTAGAAAAGAGATGGCTTTGAAGGACCTGATCACAACTTGAGGGGACACTGTGGGCTCTTCACTATGGTACATGGCAGGAGGACAAGTGACAGTAGATTTCGACTGGATAAGAAGAAAAGTCCCTCTTGGGATAATTAAGCATTGGTTCATGGACCCAGGGGATTGTGTGTGATCACTACTGTTGCAGGTTTTCAAGATCCATCTGGACAAAGTCCTGAGCATCCTGCTCTGAATTCAGCATTGATCCCACTTCAAGAAGATGCTGGACTGTAGACCTCTTGAGGTCCCTTCAAGCTCAAGCAATTCTGTAATTATAGAAGGAAGGGTGTAGAAAATAAGGGAGGTTTCAGTGATCAAAATAACCCTAGTTCCTGAGCTCCTTGAGCAAAGATCATGCTCTGAAGAACCTGTACAGGGCCTGGCACTTCATGGTTGTAGCAATAAATAAAGGGGACGTTCCCTGTGTGTCCACTGTGCCTATGGACCCTGCACCCACAGACTGCCACCAACCTCCATGTCTGCTTTTCTGTCGAAATGAACCCAGCCTGCCTACATGAGGGACATTGGTGCTTAAGAGCTTGGCAGGAAATGTTCTGGAAACTTCTAGAGCTAAAAACAGGATTTAAGACCTGCCAGCTACATTGAAAAATACTCTCAAATACTTAACATATACTTACATGGCCCACTCCAGCTTCTCATTCTTGATGGAGTTATACAGTGTCTGCAATAAGAACAAGGTATTAGCTGTGTCTCTCATGGAAGACATGCCCGGGTTCTGGAGATCACCTCCTCTACACCCTTCTCTGTGTTCTACGAAAGACACCTTTCCTTGGAAACCGACCTGGAGAAGTATGTACTGGTGAGCAGGACAACTGCTGTCCTACTGGACCATTTTCTGTCTATGAGCCACACCAGGGATTGGACTGGACATGTCAGCAGCAGAGAAGTAAGGCAGACATCCTTGCTCAGGAGCCCATCTGTGATATTTCTGCCTAATTATGGGTACTGGGTCTAAAGAATTCTGGCCTACACAAAGTTGGTAAAAGAAACTGGGTATATGAAGACACCTTCCAGTATCTCAGCTCAGGGCAGTGCGGGCTTGTGCACTGCCCTGAGAAGCAGGAGAGGGACAAATAACTTTGGGGTTCCATTTTTCCAATTCTCCCTATGCACAATTCCAGTGACTCCTCTGATGCACTGAGAAAGAAGAAAAGAACTAGGGAATCAGAATGCAGAAGCAGCCTTCAACATACATAGGAGGTTGTTAGGGAGAGGATAGTGGGTAAGGTTTTATCTAAAGCTCACTGTGACAGCTCTGATGTGGCTCTGGTCCTTTCAACCTCCTTCCATACCAGACCAGGCTGATGGACCTGTGGCAGGTGCAGACAGTGGTGGTGGTGTTAAACCACATAAAAAGAGAAAATACAAACTTTGCAGTGTCGGAGCAATCTCCCTTGGTACTCAGCTAGTTGCACTGGCACAGTACATTTAATTACATGGAATGGAAGGCAGAGAAAGGTATCTATGCCAGATGGCTATATTTCTGGGGAGCGTTTTGTTCAATATGTTGGCTGATGCGTCACAGAACTACCATGGTGGAAAGGGACCCCTGGGATACTCTGAGAGCAGATAAATCCCTGGGTAATCTCGATAAAACACCAACAGAGAACAGAGCTCTGATGGCTCCCTTTTGCAAGTTAGCAAAAGGTGTCAATTTAGGCTACAATTCTTCTAATAAAATAAATGCATGATGGAAAATGCTGATTGTCATAGTAGGACTAGGTGGCACTACAATAATAATATCAGCATCCCACTGTTGAATGTGTATCACATTACCTTCAGCAAATCCTTTGCAAAGTCCTTCCCATCGTTGAGCCCATCCAGGTTTGTTATGAACTGTTGACACGACATCTTCTTGCCAATATTCTGCAAGGCAAAGAAGCAGCTTATTGAACTTCCAGGAAGTTTTGACTTCAGTGAGACTTTTTAAAGAAATATGTTACATGTAGTAGCTCAAAGCTAGAAGGGCGTCCTGTGCTCTGACTTTCTATTGGGCTCTTTGATTTCTTTCCTCACATTCAACAACATTCAAACATTTCAAATTTCTTTTTATAATGATGGAGATAAAACACACGAAAACAATTCCAGCTCTTGCTCCAAACTCTCTAAGTGATCTCATCTAATCTCTGGCCTCCAGGTTGGCCTTGGTACATAATCTGTGCCTCAAAACTCAAGACAAGTGCTCAGACTCTCTTACAGTAGTGGAATCTGGGGGGGCCTCAAAGCCTATAATGTGCGAAAATGTGTGAGCGTGCAGTATCAACATCGGAAGACAGCACTGGGGAACGACTTGTCTTTGACAGAAATTTATTTTTGGTTGCTATTACAAAGAGATCTAGTTATGGGACGTGGTGAACTTGTGTGCTATGGTGTGTGAGGGTGATGCCCAGATACGGGGACTGGAACACTCATCATCATCACTCATCACCAACTAATGCCACAATGGCAATTTGGTGCTGGAGCTGCGAGGTCATCTGGCATCCCTGATATCAGTCTGCAGCACCTGTTTTCCCTTACTCCTCACAATAGCCAGGTGAGTCACTTTCTCATCTTGCAAGGGTTGAGGAGCTGGAGGCAAGTGGCTCTTTTCCTTGCCTTCTCCTGCAACCAGACCTCTCCTAAGGACTGGAACAGAGGTGTGGAGGAGTCAGTGAGTACTGTAGGGTTCAGAAAAAGGAGTCGGATACAAAGAAAGGACAGGTGTTTCTAGCATCACATCACATTGCAGCTTCCGCACCCTGGAGTTAGTCCCAGGGACAGACTCTGTGGTGATAGAGCATAGAGTGCACAATGCAGTTAGTGAGAAGGGGTGACACGAGGTACCGCCAGTGGTCCTAAGGATCCCAGTACCATCCTGGTGCTTGGTGGATTTGCATCAATGTACTGGTAGGGACCTGGGAGGAGGGCTAAGAGCAGCTGAGCCAGGACCCCACTTAGAGATTCAGTAAGAAGAAGGGCCTTACTGGAGAGAATAAAGCTGTAGCAGACAATATAGGAGGTGCCATACAGAGAAAAGTGTGTCCTCAGTGCAAGAAAATAACCTCTTGAAAGAGACCAACACCAGAAGCCCCTGCCCACAAATGTGCACAGCGGAAGATCTGAGGGATTTCTCCCCAGGAGAAGGCATCAGCAAAGAGCGAGGCCCTGGGGTTAACCTAGCAGACACACCATACCAGCCACCTGTGACTGCAGGCGTACTCCTCAGCTATACAGGGAGCTGGTGCTGCCTTCAAGCAGCTCTGCCTGAAACTCTGTAATTATGCCTCCTGTTGGTGCCATCTCCAGATGAACTGGCACTCCGGAGATCAGGGAAAAGAGGAATAAAGTACTGTAATGAATTTGCAGTGCCTGGGGACTGCAGATGGCACAGTGTGGTGCACCATGAGGATCAGCCATCTCATGGGCTATTGCCCAGAACTGGACCCCATAGCTGGCTGCTCCTGCGATCCAGAGCTCTGTGGGGGATCCAGACACAGGAACCTGCAGGGAAGATGCAGACATGCTGCGTTTCTTCAGCAGGGGAGGAGAAGTTTGTGTACTTGCTGGCTATTGAACAGGGTGAGTGAGCATGTAAAAGCCACAGCAGTGAACCTGCAGGATGGAGGAAGGTTGGAAGTGAGGAAGGGATGTTGCCTGAGACCTTGAAGTACCAAACCTGGCTCTTTCTCTTGCATGAGAAGATCTCAGAGCCCAAACTGAGATAGCAGCTGCATGAAAAAGCAGCTAATTGCTGAGCATCCAGGGAAGATGACATCATACCCTTACTCTGACAACCAGAAGAGGTGATGAGAAAGCTCCAACAAGAATGCTAACGCTGTGAATCAGCTTGTTGGACCAGGCTGTCAAAACACAAAACAGCAGAACCAGGGGCAGGACCCAGGCTGTCAGAAGGATTGTGCACAGGTTGCTGTGGTGGTTCAGATGCAATACAACCTCACATCAGCAATATCTTAGCACATCAGCTTGCTGCTCCGAGGCATGGGCTGGAGCCAGCTACTCAAATCCATTGCCCTGCAAGTGCTTCCAAGTCAAATCCAGCAGAACAGAGAAAACAGAAAAGTGCTCCAGGACCTGCACTTTTCAGCTTCAGTTGATCAATACTTGCAAAGAAACTGTGATCACAAGTGTCTCATAATGGACAGCACCAGCACCAGAAACTGCCTGAGCTTTCACACATTACAGTTGTATTTAGCAAGTATGGGGAATCCCAGGATCAATTCCAGAAGGGGATACCATGAGGGCAAAGTGGGCTGCCTTCCTATGCAGTAGGCCATTCAAGATCCTGCTGAATCCATCAGCATGACCACCATGTGTTTACATAATCTTCCAGGGAAGCAACTGCACACTTCAAACATCAGTGTTCTGATGTTCTGTTTCCCTAGGGAGATGCGTTTTTTAATTTCTGGTCAGACAAATAGATGGGGGCATTTTGCTTTTTTTATGATACATTGGTCACATATCAGCTAAAAAACAAGCCAGCAAAGCTGCTTCATGGTGCCACATAGTCACTATTTTTGATATGTCCTCCTGGCAGAAAAGATTTCATCCCATCTTAACTTGTTCCAGGCCATGCAACAAAGCATAAGAAATCACTGTGAGGCGATCACTTGACACTGTGATGTGTTTAGATGGAGGAAGAGTGAGTGAACAGTGGCTAAAATAGATGTGAAGTGATAGAAAGTCAGATGAATGGGTAGGATGGGTAAGGGAATGGATGGGCAGAGATAGATGGGTGCGGTGGATGGGAATGGATGGATGCAGAGGCAACACACACTACAGTGGTTAAGAGTGTATAAGAATGAATTGGGAAAGATGAGGTTGGTCTGATGGTGGGTAGAAGGGCTGATTCTGTGGTCCACTGTTTCAACTCAGTTCAATTCCTATGTTTACAACTGGGATCTTGCTTCTTCTGTGCCAGTGCTGACTCATCCAAGACAACTGCAGTGTCCAGGTTGTCTCTTCCAACCTTTGAAAGACACTGGGCTGTAGCTGAGTGTTATTTGGCTCTTGAAAAGTCATGGCATTGGGAGGCTGGGCAGGTACATGTGGGTGAGGGAACACTGAGTGCACACTGGGGAAAGCAGGAGGAGAAACAGGAGGAGGAGCAGCTTGCTGAGGGCCAGAGGCCATGGAGGGTGGCTGTCTGGGTTGCTCCTTACAGCCCTCCCTCTTAAGGTGTTAAAACATTTGAGCTGGAGACCCTAGGCATCAAACAGCTACAAAGTGGTGAGTGGAGCGCATCTCCTGTGAGCTCTCCAGTATGAGCGACCTGCCCCGAGAAGGCCCTGCGCCCTGCTTTTACTTGGGCTTTCTTGGCCTCTCCCAAATGCTCATCTGTGAAAGAAGAAGGGGGAGGTAAAGGGTAGGGGAAGGAAAAAGAGGAATAACACGAACAACAGAAGCTAAACTTATGCTTCAGCATGAGGTGAGGGCTGTTGGTCTCACTGGCCTAAAGGATGTGATAGTCTGTTTCAGGTTGCAGAATCAAAATCGACCTTCTGCAGAAAATGACCCTCAGACTGGGTACCGATGACTGCTGCACCACACAAAGCTGCTCTGGGCAGAGTGGTGCCACTCTCTAGGTGGCTTCAGCAGCTGCTTGTAACTTAAAGCTCTTCAGCTCTCAATGCACTACGAACACAACAGTATTTCTAACATCAAATCATAAGCTTGACTTAAAGAAGAATATCACAGTGTTTGTAAGACTAATAGCTGTGTGACTTTGGCTGTGGGGCTAGGACCTGCAAAGGATCCCATTTTCATGCTTTTTTCAGTGGCCATGAGAGCTGCTGGTTTGCTTTTTGAATGGAAGGTTTGTCACATCACAAGGTGATTATAGGGGCTAGGCTTTGGCAAAGTAGTTGGTACTCTACAACAAAATATAACCTGAGTGCTGGTAATGCATAGGTGTTAATTTGTCACTGTCTTTGGGTGGCCAGCTGTTCTGAACAAGGAGAAAGAAGTGCATTGAAAAAGAGACATCCCAAAGCTTTGCATATAAGGGACAAAGATGGAGAAAAAGAGTGCTTTGTTGTGAGATCTCCTGGAGCTCAAATAGCACCAGAGCATAGTACAGAGTTGCAACAACCTGATTTGTATTGTAAGGTTTGCAATCCTTGCTGGTGACTGCTGGTTTTAAACAGCAGGTATCATGTAATTCTATAAAAATGGAGCATCTCATTTTAAAGAAAGAATATTTCCTGGACAGTTTGGAAACAGGATCTGAGTGTACCAGCAGTAGTAAGTTAGCAGTACTAAATCAGAACTCCAGTGTGACCACGTGCAAATCTCATGTTTTAAAGCCAGGCTCATTACTTTGAGGCTCAGGCTCAGTGTATGTGATGGTCACTGCTGGAATGGAGAAGGAGCCCACTGTGAAGACACCACTGGAGACAATCAGCCCTTTATCAAAACACATCAATCCCCCCCTCTCCTAATCCGAGGAATTTCCCACTCTGTGGCAGAGGAAAACACTGAAACACATACACAATATTACAATGGGAAATTAAAAAATGAGTGATATGCAATATCATGACAGCATCTTCAACACACAAGGGGTGACAGACAAAGTCACACAGCCCCAGGTGCCCTGCAGTTTGGGGAGACTTCTTTGCACAAGGAAAATTTCTTGTGACTCAGATCACCTGCTAATGGGTTGCCAAGGAGTGAAGGACACTGCACAATGACTTAGGAATCCACAAACAAAATGCCTTTTTTTTTTTAACACAGAAAAAAAATAAGTCAAATGCTAGTGCTTTAACGCAAAACACTAGAACGACCGCACTTACCACCTGGTAAAGGGTTAAAGAGCAGAAAGAGAGGTTCCAGGAGCAGAAGGAAGAGGAAAAAAAAAAAAAGAGGAGAAGGAGAAGAAATTAATGTTACACAGAAAAAATAAAGAGAAGATTTTTTTCAAAGAAAAGCTCAGGCATTTCTACACCTGGTCAAAAGAAAGCTGTATTTTTCCTTGCTTAATTAGCATGAGATCATTTCTTCTTACCAAACCTATTATCAATGAAAAACTAATGCTCCACCAGTGGTGTCATCACCATTAGGCACTGATAATGCCTTTGCATCTATGCTATCACAGGTGAGGAGCATCCATGTGGTGCCCATGTGGAGGCTCCCTTTAAAGGTGATCATAAACCAGTCTGCAAATACATCGATGTTATGTCCTATTGCCACCTTATTAAAAGCATAATGAAGAGAAAATCAGGGCAAGTCTCTGCAGATGCACAATGAATTGTTACCAGCTGGAGGCAGAAGAGGACTCTGGTAATACAGCTTGGAAATCAATGGGGCTCTGGGGCAGAAAAAGGGACTAAAAGTAGCATGGATTTCATGTGTGCAGTCTGCAGTAACAAGCCTTCCCCACTCCGCGGCTCCATGCCTAAGTTCTCAGAGGTGAGAGAAGGAGCTTCAGTGAGCTGAGACTCAAGCAGCTCCTCACAAGCTGCTGGGGCTCACGGCCACACTCTGCACCAGAAGGCTGGACAGCAGGAAGGACAGCAGCACCTGCAGCCTTCCGCAGCAAGCAGGGCACAGTCTGTGCTCTGCCAGCTGCATGGCACGGCTGTCCAGGGGTCCCAGCACAACTAGTGAGACCTATGCCCAGGCCCATCTCTCCTCTGCAGTGACTCTTCCTCCCATTCTGCTCCCTTCGCTACACATTGGCAACAACCTAGCTGACCTTTTAGGAACAAATCCAATCTATGCACAGCTGTGAGAAGATATCTCACAGCCTCTGCTGTTTTCCAGTCCCACCTGTGGGCAGTAAGCTCTGCTCGCCCTGCTCTTTGTCTGATGTGATGCTCGCCAGTGGCTGCCTGCAGTGCCTTGGGGAACATCTGGGAATTACTTCACGTTCTGGGAATGAAAGATCAGATCTGGTCCTGTACAAAACTAATGACTCCCTTGCAGCAGTTTTGCAGATGAGGGGAGCCTTGTGTTTCTGCATCAGAAGAAAAAGCAGCACACTTGGAGCTGCTGTTTGCTACACCGCAGAGACCAGTGCTGAAAGACCTCCCCACGAGAGCTTCTGGGGCAGTGCTGACGCATGCAGTGGGTCCTGGGAAGAGAGCTGCATTGCCTGAGCCTATGGAGGATAACTGATGTCAGATGTGACTTTGGCTTGAGCATGCAGTAATATGAAGAGAAGGTCTGTCCTAGGGCTAGGCCTGGCACCCACAGTCTCTATGGAGCTAGTCAAAGTACTTGCATCCAATCTCGGTTTTCCAGCAGTACATACTGCACAAAGGAAAAGACCTCTATACTCGGAAGGAAAGAAGGAAGGATACATCTCCAAGTGCTACTTACATGGCCATGGAGGTCTGTGTTTAGCAGCATCAGGGCACAGGTGAGCGTATGAACCCCGTCTGAAACACACAATAGTCAGACAGCTATTTTTGATCCTCTTCTCACTTGGTTTCTGTGTTTGCTCTATCTCAGCAGCCCATTCATAGCTAGTTGCTATCTCTTTGGACTTTAAAGAACACTTATTTCTTTCAACTGCATATGGTAGTTAAAAAAAAAATCTGTTTTCCCCTTATTCCTTAAATCATCACCAGCGAACAGGTTTGAAATCAGATTTGTCAGTGGCTCTCTTAATATCTAACCTTTTGCTGAATCCATCTCCTCTTACCCCATCCCCATTTCAGGCCACCAGCATTGCAGAATGGAGCAGAAACGCTGCTGCTTTAAGCTAGTTTCCCTCCACTGACCACAGTCATCACACTGGTTTCCCCTGAAGTCTTTAGCCTCCACTTCTGAGCTCAGCAAAAATGATTACTACAAATGAGTGCCGCATTTTTGGGTCTCTTTTTTTTTCCTTTCATTTAAGACAGTGCAGCACCCTCTTCTGTACCACGCAGCCTGGTGACTTCTTGTTATTTCAAAACCATGCTGAGCCCTTCAGCTGCCCCAGGTCAAGAGACCTGTCTGCCTCCACACCACCTCACAACATGCATGGACCACGCATGGGGTTGGGGTGCTCCTCCCTGGGCACCTTATGCTCAAGGCAAAGCTCTATACACTGCCAGCTAAAGGCAACCAAACACACAGGAGCCCAGGATGACGGCAGCTGAGCACATGAGCTTCTTCCCTTTCTGGGAATAACTGTGGTGTGTGAGGAATGAAGGATTTCTTGTGGGAACGTTGCATATTTCTGCTCCAGGTCTGACAATCCCAGGGTGCCATCACAGACATTCCCCTTCAAGAGAGAATCACCTCTTAAGAAAGGCACTTCCTCACATCCACAGAAGCAGTTTTATTCTTGGAACAAAGTGCCTACTTAGTGCATATTCTGGAGCCTCTGGGGAAGATTTTGGGCTGACATCTTTGCTTGGCTTCATTAACTTACTGGGGCAGGTAGATCATGCACTCCATGGCCCCAAGGTGGAGCTGGTGTCCCAAAACCTGCTGTTCGCTTGCTGCTGCTGGGCTCAATCACATCGACATCATCTCAGCACAGATGTATAACTCTTCTGGATCTGGCTGCATCAGAGTAAGAAGGCACTAATAGTCTGTCCAAGACACAAGTGTCTGGGAGAAAAGCCTCCCACCCCCCTCAGTTGTCAGTGGCCTCTTCCACCTCTGTTTTCAGTGTCCTGTCAAGCAGGGCAAAGTGCTTTTGGTGTTGCAGTAGTTGTGTCTCCATCAGTGGAAGAGTTACTGAATTAGCACACAGCAATGTCCCAGATCGTCTCAGAGGGCTGCAAGGCCTTCACGATGACCACGTCATTTCCAGACAAGATTGCCTTGGCTTTATCATGCCTCTGTGTCCATAGATTATCACAGTCACAGGTGTTTCTTTAGATATCTAGATAATATGTACTGGCTCAGATGTCATCGTGCTGGAACACCCTGTGCTGGTTCATGTTGGATACAACAAGAAGGAACTGCTTTCTGAAGAAAAAGAGCAAGCCCTTGCAATAGGTTCCTTAAATCACTGCACATCTAATGCATATTTTGTAGTGTCCTGCTGAAGGTGTGAACTACAAGAGCTTTGCTTTCCTCTAGACTTGTCACATACTTACTGGATTGAATTACAAGTGTATTTTTCAAGCCCCATTCACTTCCAGCACTGAGTGCAGCTTTGTTTTGCTCAGGACTCACTTTGTTTGTATTTGGTCTTCAGGGTGGTACTGCCCAGCCTTGTGACACATGCTGCCATCATCGTACGGCATCCTGTGGCCCTGAACATTAACAAATATGTCATGAGAGTGGTGGCAGTCATGTTTCAGTTCCACTTTTCCTTACTCTGAAGAGTTTTGTATTTTTTAGGGTTATAACATTTTCAAATCAGGGCCTACCAGAAGCAGCGACACCTTGACTGAGGGCCATGCAGTTGTTGAGGAGTTCAATCTTCTCAGTTCATCCTTTTGTTTTTCCTGTTGGGAGGTACTTTTCACACATCGTTACAACTAGGATCTAACTTCTCTTCTGAACACTTGTCATATTGTGGCTCCATTGGCAGCTGTGTAAACTCGTGTTGCCACAGCAAAGCTTGCATGTTGTTTGTCTACTCTGCCCTCTCAATGCTCTCATGTTTATAAGGTATGGGATGGAGCCAGAGATCTGACTTGTGCTCCAGCTCAGCCTCTGCTCAATCAGGCGTGCACACAGTGGGTGTAAGAAACATGAGGACAAGATGAGGAGGAAGGGTCCCAAGGCCCTTGTCTATAGGTTAGAGGTGAATGCAGTAGAGTTGAGGATCACATTTAGGACAGGTGATGAAGAGAGGTCAGGATTGACCTACAGTTAAATGTCTACAGGTGGAGAACCCTTTCCAGGGAAAGGTCCTCTTGGGATCAGTACGAGAGAATATCACATGCACATGTAAAGCAAACCTAGCAAAATGAAATAAGCCTACACTTTACTCAGCCAAACTTATACTTTACTCAGCTACCGCAGACAAAAGCAGAGGTCATTCTGCTTCAGAGAAGTTTGTGTCCATTTAGCTTGGCAGAATAACTCCAGGGTTTATGTGACACTGGGCAAGGCTACTCCTTGGCAAAGCAGCTCTCTGGCCCAACTGCCACATGCTAAGCTGAAGAGGGTGGAGAAGGAACAGCCAGCAGTTCTGTGATGCTGGCTGAGAAAAGGTCAGCAGCCTGATTTCCACCCATTCCTGGATGCAGGCACTACAGATGCCTGTAAACAGGTGTGTAGAGATACTCATGCAAATATGACCTTGGGCATGCTCATGTGGAAGGGACCTTAAAGATCACTGAGCTCCAATCTCTGTTCCATGGGCTGGCTGCCCCCCATCAGCTCAGGCTGTCCACGGCCCCATCCAACCTGGCCTTGAACACTTCCAGGGATGGGGCATCTACAACATCTCTGGGCAGCAGTGCCAGTGCCTCACTGCCCTATGAGTAAATAATTTTTTTCCTGATATCTCACCCAAATTTCTCCTCTTTTAGTTTAAAGCCATTCCCCCTTGTCCTATCACTATCAGACTGTGTAAAAAGTCAGTCCCAGGAAAGCAGTACCTTCGGAGGTGCTCTCCTCTGGGTTGCACTGGCAGTATCGCCGGGAGAAGTGAATCAGCACACGCTCCCGCTCCTGTGTCTCTCCCATCAGTGGGAATGCTTTCAAGAATGTCCTGCAAAGAGAAAGTGATACTTAAGATGTCATGGATCAATCTGCTGGAAAGCATCCACACTACAGGGAAAGATAGGAAGGGGGTCCTCATGGCAGCTAGGGAAGCCTCTGTCCTCTCCATAGCCCGTGCCCAGGGGCCCTGCAGGTACAGGCCTTGAGGCTGGCCCTGAGCTGTGTAGGGAAACATACTTGCAGCTGAGGTAGGGTGTACCAGGCTCAGTGGCATCAGGATGGGTCATCCATCCGAAGGGCAGAAGTTGCTCTCACTTGCTCTGAGTTTGTACAGAATAGGATTCCCAGGAAAGCCACTCTCCACCGTGGGGAAGCAGGCTGTGGGTGCTCTTAGCAAAGCCCATTTTTGGTGGCAGTACATTGTGCCAAATGTGACACCAAAGCAAAAATTAAATTATAACCCGTCCCTGCTTCTGTCCATGGACAGTCTCTGTGGAGTCGGGAGGCCCAGAGAAGCCCACGTGCTCTGCCCCAGCCAGCCCAGACATACGTGTGAGTGCCGAGAGCCCAGCTCACCTGAGTGCTTTGTCGAGGGTCAAGCCACTGAAGTCAAAGAAGCTGAGATACTCCTCTGCTACCAACTTGCTAAATTCGTTACTGTAATTAAAGAGGGAGTCATCAGCCTTTTCATCAGGGAAGGACACACTGTCTAGTCCTACTGCAGTACTCCCACTCTCCACCCCAGGCTGGCTCTCATCTCACTCTCTCACCACAGCACCTCACACTGTGTCTTTCTGCAATCATACTCTCAGACACCACCTGCCAGATGGATGCTCCTGGGGCGCTGGAGCAGTCAGGGTGCAGGGGTGCTCAGCTGAGATTCTGGCCCCACTCACCCCTGAGTGGTTTGCCAGGGCTGGAGGAGTACACGTGGAGTTTCTGAAGGATGCCTGGGGACTCACTGCCTTTAAAGCCAGAATGGGTGCTGTTAAGTTCCTCTATCTGCACAGCTCAGATACCAAAACTGCAACTGTGATGAATGACTGCTGGCAAGAACATGGGGATGATCTCACTATGATCGGCCTTGCTCATATGTAATTCATTTTCCTTCTCCCCACAAAATGAAAAGCATACTAAGTGTTGCACATCCAGTCTCACTTCAGGACCTTCTACAGGCTGAGCTCAGAGCTTGCACTGCCTTTCCATTAGCACTGTTTTATCTTCCACTGTGAGGCAGATGCTGCAAAGCTTTGGGTGGATGCTGTTGGGAAGCACAGCACATAGTGGAGTAACTTCTTCACTTGTCCTGCAAAGGCAGGATGATGTGAGAAACCAAAGATGATCATGTCTGTGATGGAGATGTCACCACATCTTCACCCCTCAAAGAAACAGCAGAAACCAAGAAGCCCCTGGCCGCCCTCTGGAATGCTCTTGGCTCTAAGCCTGCAGAAGACCTCATGTGTTGGCTGTGCAAGTACTGGGAAATAGCCACTGTTGTCCCTTCCACAGGTCAAGCCCCACCTCACAAATGTAACCGTGGAAAAAAAGGTCCAATTCCTTCAGCCTAGGCAATTCTACCAGATCTGCTAGGAATCTGGTTGGGCATTCCGGGCACTGCACACGCAGAATCACAGAATGGCCAGGGTTGGAAGGGACCTCAAGGATCATGAATCTCCAACCTCCCTGCCACACACAGGGCCACCAACCTCCACATTAAATACTAGACCAGGCTGCCCAGGGCCCCATCCAACCTGGCCTTGAACACCTCCAGGGATGGACGGGGCATCCACAGCCTCTCTGGGCAGCTGTTCCTCTCCACTCTCTCTGTAAAGAACTTCCCCCTAACATCCAACCTCAATCTTCCCTCCCTCAACTTAAAACCATTTCCCCTTGTCCTGCTGTTATCTCCCCTTTCAAAGAGCTGGCTCCCCTCCTGTTTGTAGGCTCCCTTTAGGTACTGAAGGCTGCAGTGATTCACCCTGCAGCCTTCTCTTCTCCAGGCTGAACAAGTCCAGCTCCCTCAGCCTGTCTTTGCAGGGGAGCTGCTCCAGTCCCCTGATCATCTTTGTGGCCCTCCTCTGGACCCTCTCCAACAGCTCCCTGTCTTTCTTGTAGTGAGGGCTCCAGACCTGGATGCAGTGCTGCAGATGGGGCCTCACAAGAGCAGAGTAGAGGGGAACAATCACCTCCCTGTCCCTGCTGGCCAAACCCCTCTTCTGATGGAACCCAGGATCCCATTTGCTTTCCGAGCTGCAAGAGCACACACCAAGGACAGCCATGCACTTCATCACAGGAGTAATCAACAGGGGAGAACAAAACATCTGATTGATCCCACTTAAACTCAAGCTGGACTTGAGGAGCTGGCCTTGTCCAAGGCTCCCTAAAAACAAAACAAAGCAGCAAGCTATAGTCTAGCTCAGATCTCAGGTGAGTTACTCTTGAGGTGTCTCCATAGCCTACACTGGGACTATATCCTAACTCAGATTCTTAACTGGGCCTACAGTCATGCAGAATGAAGGAGGTTGGAGATCCCTTTCACCACCCTCTCCCACCAGGCTCACTGCCCATCCTTCAGCTCACTGGCTCTTGCTGGTGGCCAGGGCTCATGAGCCCAGGATTCACACAGAATGGTGAGCAGTGGTCTGCACCAGCTTCTGTTGCGACTGCACCTCCCCAGTCCATCGTGTCTTCAGTGTGCCTCCCCAGGTCCCTTCCTGCTTGGAGTAGTTCGAGGCAGACTCAGCTGCAAAAATACGTGCTCTTGACAGACTAAGATAATTTCTACATTTAGAGTTAACATCAAATAATGCTGTCAGCTGGAAAGAAACTATTTGGTGATATCCAACCTCTTTTTCCTTGTCATCAAGCTTTTCATACTTGCTTGACAATGATGAACATATTGGGACTTTTGAGAAAATTGCCAGTATTTACAAAAAAAAATTAAAAATAAAATAAAATAAAAAAAAAGAGGTGGAATGAGCTGAAAAGTCTAAAAATGAGATTTTTACTTTTCAAACGACCCTCCTTGTTGGCCCACCTCCTACATACAGCTTCTCTGAATGTATCACTTAAATGTACTCTATTCCCACAAATGCAGGCTGGTTTTACAAGCCTAAAATACACCTATCTCCAATCTCCTTCATGCCCTGCTCTGCAAATCCACCTGCCTGGTCCAAGAGCCTGCAGCTCTATCCAGGTCTTGTTGCCGGGAAGTGTTCCAGCTTTCTAAAATTCAGCTGATCAAAACCAAAATTGCTTTTTTTTAAAGGATGTGTCAAGTCCCAGCTGTGGGTCACCAAACAGCTCCTGCAGCGTGAGGATGGCAGGAGCCAGCAACAGGACACACTCAGATACACCCTCATGCTAAAAGTTCATTGCCTAGAAGTTCCCCACTCAGCCAGCTGGCATAGAAGATTTGCAGGAAAGAAGGCAGCAGCAACCAGAATTGCATCTGTTACAACCAAGAGAGAAGAACAAGCATGCTGTCAGGAGACACAAGAAGCTGCTACAGAAGATCACTCACAAGCTCCTTGCTTCCATTCAGGACAAAGTTGAATCATGGGCCATCCTTGCCAATGGAAGCCTGGGTATTTGCTGAGGGACAGCTGTGTCTTGCTAATCTGGATGGCAGTGAGCCATTTCAAGGACATACAAAAAACAAGCAATGTTATACATGACCCAGGAGAAATATACGGGGAGTTGGTGTCCTCGCACCCACTGGCATCTTAAAGTCATGTTACTGCTATGCTTGTTGCTTTGTTACTGTATCTCTCCACTTTTGAATGAACACTTTCATTTCCCTTCTGCCTTATCCTGGCAAACCTACCAGCTGAAGTAACTTGGACATCTGGTGCGTATCTGACTCTCCATCCAACTCTTGTGGGCTCACACTGCCTCACCCTCCCCACCACAGATGTTTTTCTCATGGCCGTGCTGTTTGGCCAGGCTGGCTCTACACACTTACTTTTTCCCGAGCTGTCGTGCCACATCACAGCGCTTGAACCCTTCAAGGTTGTAGAGACGTTTGGCCAACCTCTTCGCAGCCTCGCTGTCTGCCCTGCAGCCATTTGCCAAGGTGTCTGTGCTTCCCTGGTCAAGCTGCTCCGTGCTGCCCATGTCAGAGTCAGAGTCTGAGAGCGCATCTTTCAAGCTGGCATCACTACACAGAAACAAGAAACAGTTCAAGGAGCAGCAGTGTGACTTGAAGGAACCCAAAGACATTTTGGTTTCCTCTTGTCCTAACCAAAAAATACAAAAAACACATTTGTGAACTGGACGTTGGCAAATCCTATTTCATTTCAGGTCAAAAATGCATTTTGATGCATTCCAAATAATACCGTTTAATTTCAAACTAGTAGGAAAATGATGGAAGAGGAAATTATTTCTTGCTAAGAAATGAAGACATACACAATCAAAGCAAGGAGACTCACCCCTTTTTTAAGGTTCCACCCCCCACATGGTATGAAAGGCTGTCCTGAATGGATACAAAGGTGCCAGAAGTGTACGCATACCTTTCTGGTCTGTGTTGTAGGGATACCAACCTCTTTTGGAGCTGCTCACACCCAGGAAACCTTTGGTATAGACGATAAACTTTTAGGTTCAGATTATTTGCTGAGGGTGAGAAAATGCACTTGAACTTGTGCAAAGTGCTGTGGCTGGGCTGCCAGGGCATCATGCTGAGGGGACTGGCACCAGACCTGATGTCACTGTCCAGCTGCTGCCCCCGGATGGCACGATGGCTAGCCATTCTCACAGATGACACCCTGAGTGTTCCAGTGGCACCACGTAGGTGGGGCTGCATCCCTTTGTTTTCATGCCCCAGGCCAGTTCTGACACCTATTCACGCATTTTTGGGCACTATGACTCAAAGAAGACCAATAATTAGCCAGACATAATCCCATGTTCTGGCTCTCTCCTGGCCTGGCTGCCCATCTCCTGGCTCCCTCACACACAGTACTGCAGTACAGCTCCTGCTGCATCCTGGGGATGATGGCTTGGAGCTGGCCCAGTGGGTGACATCTCCACTGATGTCCTCACTGCCTGCCAAGAGCTCCTGGGGAAGCCTCTACAAAGGCGCCTAAGTGAAACCTTGAGGCTCACCCTGCTTTTCAGAGCACATTTGCAAGTGTGCCTGGCTGACTGCTACCTGCCATGGACTTTGGTAGATGTTGGCAGACAAGGCAATGGTCCTCCTACAGCAGTGCTGGCTTGCTGTAAGAGCAGGTGGGATTTGTGTGCAAGCAAATCAGTGCTGGTGCCCTCCAGAGCAAACGTGTGCACAAAGTGCTTGAGCCTTGGCTTTCCTTGGGCTCACAGTGCTCCTACAGGACCTAGCAGATCATGTTCATCCTTGGGCACTGTGTTTGAGAGCAGGAAAGACAGACACAGATCTGCTGGGGAATGGCTGATCTAGTGCCATGTGGTCCTCGGCTGTGTTCTCAGTCTATGGATTAGAAAGTTTGTCCTGTGGTTTGTCTCTCTGCCATGACAACACATGAGAGCAGGCACAAGGGAAAAAAAAACATCTCCACCCCTTATATCCTATGAGCCCTGCTTCTGGGCTGGGACCCCTTAAGACAAAGACCCCTTTACCCCCAGGAATTCACAGCCTGCCCTACCTGATGGAGTTAATGATCTTGGTGGCGTCTTCTTCTGAACCTTCCACATGGAACCCATTTGGGATATTTTTCAAGGACAACCTGCTCAGCACATTCTCTGACCTGCTGCTGGTAATTGAGTGCCTGAGAGGGCTCCCAAAATCCCCCTCTGCTGGCTTTGCTGCTGCCTGCTCTTGCTTATCAGCAGCCATGTGGTGAAGGGATTCTCTCTGCTGGGCCATCAGTTTCTGCTCCAAGAGCTCTGGGCTTTCCTTGACCCGCTGCTGGATCAACGGGGTGAGTGGCGCCTCAAAACTGACACAGCTGTCTGTCTCGTCTGTAAGAGAGAGGACATCCAGAGAGTCCAAGCTGCTGTAGTACGTGCCCTTCATAAGGTCAGACTCAACAATCTTCTCAAAGGTTGAGCTGAACCCATCCCTGATGTCTTTGAATTGAAAATGTTCCTTGTCGTCCTCACTGCAGCTCAGCTTGGCATCTCCAGCAGCAAACCTGGACGAGAAGGGGAGATGTAGAAAAAATGGTCAAGGAATTGCTTGTACTGTTCAACTTGGAGCTAGGGGGCAGGAGAAGAGGTAGGAATGGATGTTGCAATCATAGGTCCTTGGGAGTTCTCTGTGGTAAAACCTGATTTTCCCGGTTTTATTATAAGAGCTGAAGAAGACAGAGCTTTGCAATGAGCCCCCTCAGGGACCCAGTTATTTATGGTTGTGCCCCAGCAAAAAGCCAGAGCTCTGAACTGGAAACATAGGTGCCTCACACTTGCAGCTGGACCAATTGCCAGAATTGAATTAATCTAAGGGTTCTCTCTCTCTTCAAGTGCTCCAATTCTGGCAGCATCAAAAACACAGAAGACATTAAAGATTGAGATCAATTCATATAACTGCAGCAAATGTCCCTTTGTAGCAGAAGAAAAACCAGAAACCGTTAGGGAGCAATTCATACACTCTATCTTCAGCCTTTTGTCTTAGACAAGACAGCCTGGAAGAGCAGGGCACCTGCGCTGAGAGGAACGTCCACGGGGATGGAGCCCAGGCAGGGGAGGCTCTGTGCTGCTTTGCAGACAGCCTGTGGCATGAAGGCACAACACGAGCAGTGTGACAGAGGCTGCAAAATGCACCAACCTGCAAGGTTAGCTTCTGGGTAAGCAACTCCCAGCTATTCTAGCTTTCGATGCAGGGACATCAATTGCAGGGCGCATCCCAATGCAATCACACAGGGAGAATTCAGCTGGGCCAAACACCTGCTGGGAGCCCTGAGGAGATGGGAGGGTTTAGTCTCTTCTGGAACAGCCTGAACCAGCAGGCCAGCAAACAGGCTGGGAGCTGGTAAGGAACTGGGAGAGGACACAGCCTGGGCAGCCAGCCCCAATGGTCCAAAGGGATATTCTATGGAATACAAATCCATGCTCAGCTTGGGGTGGTCTCTGAAAGTCACTACTGCTTAGAGACCGGCTGGGCATTGATTTGTTTTTTATCTGATTGCTTTTGTATCACTTTTTTTCTTCCTTCCTTCCGTTATCAATAGATAATATATTAATCTCTTCTTCAAGAGGTTTTTTCATCATATTTTTTCCCCTGTTCCACTGTGGAGGGGGAGCGAGAGCAGCGTGGTGCCCATCAGTGTGACATGGATATGGCCTCACTGTGCAGCAGAATACATTTCCCTGAGATAAACTCTGGGGATAGACCAGGGATGAGCAAGTTTCCTGTGCCAGTGAATGAGATGCTGTACCCATGCAAGTCCAAGCTCAGCTGCTAGAAGCAATGTTTCCTATCAGGTGTTGGTGACAGCCCTCATGAACATGGAACCTTCACATCACCTGGAGCAGAACTGGAAATGGGGCCAGGGAGGTGGAGGCTCCAGCACAGAGGAAGGAAAACCACTTGTGGCCTAGTTATGGCAGAGCCATGAGAGAGTCTCCCAGCAGTCTGGACACTTCTCAATGCACTTTACAAAACTGCTCAATCTTTCTAGGCAGGGAAACTGAGCCACAAACCATATGGAATTGCTTGTAGCAAAAATAAGGACAGATAGGGGAAGAGGGCCCTATCTCCAGCAGCAGAAATCAGAGAACGGGGAAAGCAAATGTCTGCCCCCACAACCAGCCCCATTCCTCCAGTTCCCAGCTGCAGCAGCTTAAGGATGCCCTGATCTAGAAGCATGCAGCCCATTTTGTCCAACAGACACAGGCTCCCTGCCTTCAAGGCGGGGATGTACCCCTGGACATCACTGCCATGCTTGGAAGACACTTACTGGAGCCCTGAAGACCTCCAGCTCTGCTTATACCATTTCAGAGTCTCGGGCGCATACTCCTCCCAGGGCAGAAAGGATTTGTCTGTATTTCTATGCAGAGCTAAGCAAACAGCAAGGAGGAAAGGCTGCTTCTTGAGCAAAGAGCAGGTCAATGAGCAGCAAGGAAAGAATCTGGTCTTCCTTTTCCCCATGCTAGAAAACACACTGCAATCAAAGCAATTGCAATCATTTCCAATTTGTTGATTTTTTCTCTATTTCTAACCATGTCACCAGGATCTACTCACCAGATGAGATCTTTAGCTCAGCAGAGACCCTTTCAGATGGAACAAATCCAGCTACCAGCTCAGAGTGGCTGAAGGTAGCAGGGGCAGCCTGGTCCCCTATGCTGTGGCCATACCCAGCCACCTTGGAAAGGGTTTCCCCCAAGGAACCGGTTTGTACGCAAAACCTGCTGCTGCTTCCAAGCAAAATGTCATTCATTTCCACTCATTTATCATTCTACCACATAGGGGAGCAGTAAAGTATCTACAGAAAGGCCAAGACAATCTGTTTTGATACCTTTCAAACTAGAAGAACCCTCAGTACAGTGTAAAAATCATTTTTTGTCAAGCATTTTCTGTCAAAGCACGGTCAACAACCAGAGTGGCTGGGAATGGAAGGAGCCTTCTCAGCTGATTCAAGGAAAACGTTCTATTTTTCTTCTTTATTCAGGATTCAGAAATCTCACTCAATTTCACTGCTCCTTCTGCAATCACATCACTGACTCTGGTCACAAAAATTGCTCCAAATGCAGACACTGCCCATTTCAGCAAGATCCTCTCCGTCACTTTGTTCTGGGCATGGCTGGAAGGCCTGTGAAAGCAGGCAGCTGGGAGAGGGGTAGCACTGCAGAGGTCCATGTGCCTGGACCTCAAGAACCTGAGCAAGCCCAAAATGAAGAGGAACATATAGTGTCCTCCCCTGAAATTCACAGCACCGCACCCCTTACCATGTGGCTAGACAAGGCTGATTCAGAGAAGACGCAGCAAACACATAAACATATGTTATATCCACAGTGTTACAAACCAGGTCAGATGGGAAAATCATGATGTTTCTTTCTGGCCTTGCAATCAACAGGCAAGTGTTGCACAGCCCTGAGTTTACTGGTCCGGAGATACCATCAGTGTTATCACTCGTTGGAAAGCTCGACTCTGCAGTGCCTCAGGCAGGGTGGAAGATCATTGCAGGACTTTGTGGCTGCATGACCTTGCTGCCAAGGGGAACATACCTGTTTGGGAACTACTGCTGTCATTTCTGAGGAGCAACTGGTTCTGGGCAGCATGAGGTACCTCATTCTGAGAGGTGATGCTCGTATGGATCAGTCTCCAACATCCTCATCAGCATGGGCAGCAAGAGCTCAGCTCTTAACACAAGCACTAATTCCAGGCAGCACAATGGGACCTGGCATCCCTCCACACAGAGGAGTCCTTAAGGTCATTCCCCTTGTTTGCTACAGCCAGTGCACTTACAGATTCAGACATGCAATGCAAGACAGCAGGAACTTTGGTAAAGGTGATCTCACCCCAAGAACCAAACACCCAAGGACAGCCACAGCGTGAGAGGGTGGACAATGAGCAGAGAACCAGTGCAAGGAGGGAAGACTGCAGTGCCAGAGTTGCACATTCCCCTGCTGTGACAGCAAGGTGTGAGAACAAGTCAGCTTCCAGACCTCTCTTCTGCCTTCTGCAAGATAATTGCACACTGGGGAAGGATCTGAACGAGGGGGCAGCCTCCTGCTTTTAATGTGCCAGAGCTGTCAGAGAGGGGAGGACGAATCGGCACTGTCACGTTTCTTACTTCTCAGCATCCCGAGAGCCTGAGGAACCCAAGCAGGTGCTGTGAAGTGGCCACTCCATGCTGCCTTCCCATCCCCATGCTGCTGGGTGCCCACTCAGCTGCCTGGTGAGCCGTGGCAGGAACAGGCAGTACCTGCAAAGCAGCAAGCAGGGCAGAGCCACCCGAAGGGCACTGCGAGGAGGGACGCAGCCATGCACAGCTCACACTCTGTACCCAAGAGCTGACAGGCTTAGACTAGCAGGTTCTCACATCCTCTGACAAGTCCTCTCTGAGGTCTGTGCTGTTAGAGCTGCTGTTTGCAAACTGAAATCTGGGGCTGCAACAGCTAAAAGCTGACGTGAATTGTAGCTTCAAATAACACCCTACTTCCAGGAGCTCAGAGCTTTAAGAAGAGTGCCACCCAGACCGCCAGAGCTGGCCACACAGCAAGCCAGATGCCAGCTGCAGCTCCAGGTCTCCTCATCCTCAGCTCTGCTTATTTTCCCAGATCCATCCATGTTGGCAAGGTGTGTGTGCAGAAAAATCTTTTTCCCTCCATGAACCAGGAGAAACTTTTAGAACTCCACCTCTCTGCAACAGGAAGGATTTTACAGCCTTAATTGCACCCTATAGAGGGGTCCCATTGCCCAACTCCTTGTAACAGTGCCCACATATTTTCCAGCCCTGTGTTTATTTCCTGAGCCCAAATTCCTACAGCAGTCACCAGAGTCAGGAGTCCTGTGTTCCTAGAAATGCCTCACTGAAGGCTGTGTGTGGCAGAGAGCAGGGCAGAAGCTGCAAAAGGGGCAGCTCAGCAGATGCCAACAAGCCTCCAGAACCCACAGCCACAAGCCCATCACATCCCTCCCTGCATGGTCCAGGGAAGACCCTCCCCAGGGGAGGGCGAGCAGGCTTCCTACAACTTAGAGCAGCCCAGGGGCAGCCACCTGCATCTGATTCAACCACGCTGGACTGGGAGGGAGATAAGGTAAGACCTTGCTTGTGAGTGAGCACAGCACAGCCTCCCCACAGGGAAGTGTTGTGCGCTTAAGTATTACACAGCGGGGAAGGCAATTGCTTTACTTAACTAAGGAGCCATATATTTATTTGCATTGTAATCACAAGCTTCTGTGTACTGAAGTAGCACTGTATCTAATTGCCTGTGCTGCCTTTCTCAGTCATCTCTGAAATGCTGTTTTATTGCTTATGGCAAGGCATGCCGAGCTATGCATTCAGTTATTACTGCCGCTGAACCGCACTGGATTTTTATGCACTGAGTTGTTTATATTTCACTTCTCACTGGTTAATTAGTTGTAATAAAGTAGAACCTCGTTTGCTGTGTTGGTGGAGCCATCAGAGAAAGACATGCTGGCAGCCAGGACTTCCTTGCCTATGCGCTGTGGCTTTCTGCAAAGTTTCCTAAAACTCTGTTTAATGAAATGTGAAATGCACAATGGCTGTACATCGCCACGGGAAAAAGCGTGTGCGCAAAAGCAGTCCCAAACCTGCAGGCACCAAGCACATCTCACAGGCCAAAGGTGGGGATTCCTATATTTACCAGCTTGACATTTTAATGGGGCTGAAAGCAGAGAATGTCATTCGCCAGTAAAGCTCTCTGTCTGACTGCAGAGATCAGCAACTTTCTGAGATCAGCAGAGCCTGTGCTGGGGGCCTATGGGAAGGTGGCAGACCTCTAGCCAAAACATCCACGAGGAGAGGAGCAGGGCTTTGACAAACAGCGCGCTGGCATGCCAATGGGACAGACAGAAAGAGGGGCAAAAGGGATTCAGCAAGTGCAAACTGCAGCACAAGCACAAAAGCTTTGGCTTTATTTTCTTGAATTGGGAAATGGAAAAACAGAGGATGACTATGAATTCTACAGTGCCTTGGTCCCTCTGTCAGCTTTGTGACTCATGACCCACGCTCACTGAGCAACACAAGTGCAGCAGGCAGCTCCCTATGGCACAGAAGGGCCATGCTGGTTTTTGCCCAGCCATCCAATGGATAGGTGGTCAAAGTTCCGCCTTTGAATGCACTCAGCTAACCTGATTCCTGGAGAACACAGTTTCCCAGATTTCAGTTGCATCCTGAAGTTTTCCAGCTGCCCTTTTGCCTTCAAGTGACTTGTCCCCTGTGTGTTCAGCTTCCCAGAATACTTACTATCCAAGTCCTTATGTTCAGAGCACAAGATCATGGTCAGTTCATGCAGGGTGCAGTCAGACTGCATTGGCTCCAAATGCTCAGCCTGCCGCTTCTCCCAGTTCATGCCCCAGTACCTTAAAATAACTGCACTTCCAGTGATTGCACCAGCATTCACTGACCACCCATAGCTTCCTTCTGACATCGCTGTCTGCTGGGGAGCCACAGATCAAGCAGCATTCCCTTGCAGCACAGTGACTTGCAGACATCCAAGAGCTGACAGAGTAGCTCACAGGACTCGTGGAACCAGTGTGGAGGTAGGCTCACCAGGCTCTCCAGACATCAGCAGATAGAAGCAGTCTGCCTTGGACACCTATTCCTCTTTAATACCTTCAGCTGCGACTGTTGAAACAGAGTTGCTGCTTCTTGCTGGTGCTGCTGGTAAAGCAAACCACCAGTTTGCTGCTGGGGAGCCTGCTAACTGCTACAGATGCAACGAATTAGGGATGCCTGCTGTCAGCCCACATGCTGCGCAGCTTCCCAGCACCACTAACGCTCTTGGCCATGCTCCAGACAGTGCTCTGAGCCAGTGGCTCAGCCTGAAGCCTGCACAGTCAGGAGGTGATTCAAACGCCCCTCTTTGCCATCTTGTCCCTGTTACACCTTCTCCTCTTACAAAGCCATTCTCCTCTGCTCTTCTCCAGCCCTGTCCTGCTTGTGGCATCTCTTCCATTTTAGGGTAGAAGATACGTGCAGGCAAGGCCATAAGATTCACAGTGACCATCAACCTTGGGCAGCTACAATATACCTTCCTGGGTGATTTGTGGTCTATGTTCCTCTTGCAGGAATGCCATGGGAAGCAGCCCACCTCAATCCAGTGACTGCAGGGCCCTGTGGAGTCTTAGGCACTTGCAGGGTCTCCTCAGTGAGGCTGAGTCCCTGCTCAGTGTCCCCTAGCCTGGAAAGCTGTCCCATGAAATCAGGCTGCCAGCAGGGAGGACACAGGTGGGAGCATCCCGTGGTTTGCCTCAGGCACTTGAGAACAAGATGACAGGCATGTGTCCGAGCTGCTGAGCTGCCGCCCATCCAGCTGCAGAGTACAGGGTCTGGGAGAGGACTACCTGCCCTGGACCTTCAGGCAGGAAGTTGACCCCAATTCCTTCAATTCTACCAGAAATTTGGGGCGTGCCTGTAAAAAGGCCAGCATAGGCTCTTCTACACCTAGCCTCATGCACTGGTGAAGGCTACCTGAACTAGGAGGACCTAAACCACGGGAAGACAGTAGAGCTGGGACAGCAGCAGGGCACAGTCCCTGCTGTGATGGTGGAGCCCTGCCTGGCTGGCAGGCACTGGGGGCTCTTCAAGAGGTCCTCCCCTCCACCTGGCCATTCCACCCTGCAGCAATGAGCATGCTGTGTACTAGTGACCACATCTCCTAGCCCCACTGCAGTGGCTCCGAGCACACACATACAGCTGCTGGGGCATCACTGAGGTGCACCTGGGATGAGACATGGCAATCCCCCGGCTTCACCACATCACAGCACTTCCCACCGTCCTGCTCACTTCCCAGCATCCTAAATCACACTCATCCCAGATGCAGCAGCACATCCACCCCCTTGCTACATGCACAAAGCAGGAACTGAGCTATCCCTGCGCCACCCAGGCACTGGCAGCACCAGCCACAAGAGCAGTGGGAACCAAAGCTCAGTGCCCTGCCCTCCCTATTAACAACATCCTCCTCTGGATGCAAAGCTGCATCCTGCTGGCCATAGATTGCCAGAGCTAGCCACGCTGCCAGGGACTCCCAGGGCACCCCAGGCTTCCCATGGCTGCAGGCTGCCCTGCCCACATACTTCAGCTATCTCAGTAAACTCTGCCTCAAGTGCTGCAGCTGCAGCTCCAATCACAAGTGGGACACTCCCAAAAGTCATCACTCTCCCTAAGAAGTCCCTAAGCCTTTTCCTTCGCCTTAGCACATCTAAGGCAGACACTGGCTCTAATCACAGACTTTCCACGTTTGCAATAGGGAAAGAAGCCCAGAGCAAGAGAGCAAAAAGACAGTCAGCCATGAGAGCAGCTGCAGCTTTTTAAAGTGATGAGTTACACAGGGAGAAGTGGAACTCAGACCAAGGAGGACTGGGAAACAGTGCACGTAAGCCATCACCGAGCTAGCGCTACGGCAGCTTCGCACTCACCCGAGCTGCTCCTCCGGCTCATCAGCGCTCAGCGCTCCCGAGGAGCCCAGGAAGCCGTGCAGGAGCGCCTTGCTGAGGGCCTGGCTCCGCGTCTGCGGCCCAGGGGAGCCCTCCTCCCCAGAATCCACACTGCCGGGGCTGGGCACGCTGCCGTCCCGCGGCTGCAGCCTCGCTGCCTCCCTGCCCGCGCCGAGCTCCGCGTCCACGCCGTTGGTCAGCGCCGGCTCTTCGCAGCCCTCGCCGTTACTCGCGGCGCGCACCTCCTGCTCCCACTCGCCCGTCGAGGCCGCCAGATGTTGGTCCCCACGGCGCTCCTCATCGGCTGCGGGGCTGGGCTCGGCGTCATCCGGGGGGCTGTCTCTCCCGCTGGCAGGCTCTGCAGGCTCGCCGAGCTGCTCATCCCCATCGCTGCGGGCTTGCACAGCAGGCTGCGAGCCTGAGGAATGCAGCTCACTGCGGTCTGCCACAGACAACGGAAAGTGCCTGCTCTCACTCATATTCCGCTCGTCCTCCCGGCGCTTGCGGGCTCCCCCCCCGCGCTCAGCTCAGGCACGGCACTACCTACAATAGAAAAGACCCCGTGTCACCAGAGCCCCGAGGATCGAACAGCCTGGCTTGCCCATGGCAGCTCAGTGGGGTGACAGCCAACGCCACAGCTGTGGTGACAGGAGTGGAGAGAAAAACCTACACCCTCCAGGAGAAAAGCAGAGAGGGTTCATATCTGGATTTGCTGCTTGTAAGGATGAGTGCTTGCCACCCAGCACTGAGAATGGAGAAGAAAATCTGCCCTCAAGGGCTCGGGCCACCAAGGACCCAGGCATCCCCTCCTCCTCTCTGCCCCTAGAGCTCCACACACCCCAGCCCTAAACACAGGCCGGGGACAGAAACGTGGCCCCACTACTTCTCTTATGCTGGTTACAGGAGTGCTGCTCCCCAGCACTGCCTGCCCCCTGAAAGTTGGGGCTTGTGTGACGGCACTGGGGAAATAGGAGACAGCTGTGGGGTTTTTTTGTTGTTGTTGTTTTTTTGTTGTTGTTTTTTAAACACTTTTAAGCAGCTATGATGTGCCAACCTGTGTGATTCTCCCTGTTGACTCACATCTCTAAGCAGCTTCTTTCCTTCCAGAGTAACACCCTTCCTGGTATACAAGTACTGCTGAAGTATTTACCAGCTAAAGCTCTGGCAAAAGTGTCCCTGCTGAATATGCTATGAGATGCTCTCTTTATGGCAAAGGAAGGACACTATATTGCACCACAAGTGGCTTCTCGATAAAAAGGGACTTTGTTGGCAAACATGCCCGTTGATGCAAAGTCTTGCTAGCAGCATCCTCAGCCACGGGCAGCAGCCCTACACTGCTCTGGAAGCACTGGAAGCCCTACAGCTGAAATCCAGTGATCCCAGTGCCAGCAGAAATTCTCTCTTCTGGAAGCCAGTGTTTCTGTATGGCATTTGGGCTGAGGCATAACAGTCAAATTAAAACAGGGCGATTTAAAACTGTGTCTGCCTTCACCTGGGAAGGGAGTGTACCCAACTGGTTACAGCAAGCAGATGGGAGTCCTACCTCATGTCACAGGCAGATATTAACTCCCTGCCTCAGCTTCTTCTCTGCAAACTACAGATAACAGCACCTCTGAGAAGCTGTGAGGGTGCCCAGACTTTGGGAATGGGCTCTGCGTGCTCTGACTTGCTGAGCTGAGGCTCTCTCTAGCAGTGCTTGCTTCATACAGGGCCCTATTAGTTCTTGGTACCAAGATGTGCCTCTGCTCTCACTACGCCTCGACAGGTCAGTGGCCCATCCTCCACCACTGGTTCCTATGTGTAGGGGGAAGGAGCAAGGGAGGAGAGGCGTGGGTCTAGACTTGCTGGGCAGAGCTGTGTGGATATGTGCTGAGCTAAGTGGGACAGATCCCACTGGGAACCCTAACCCCTTCTGACTGTGCCTAGGGCAAAGCCCAGCTGAGATGGAGCGCCCAGGCCCTCCCTGTGTCCAGTTCACAGCTGCTGAGAGATGAGGTGGACTGAGGAGGTCAGAGGCTTTTGTGGAGTGGGTCTGGGGAGAAATGTTCCTCCAGTTGCTCATCCTGCAGATGTGGGGTGGGGTAGATGCCATGCAGGCAGGTTTACCTCTTCTCCGTGTGCATCCCCCGCTGTCACAGAGCTTGCAGCATCCCCACACTAGGTGTAGCCAGGCACCTGGACAGATGCACGACCCTGCAAGCAATAAGAGACCAAAGAGCGTGAAACACAGAGAGGAGAACCCCATCAACCTGCTGCACTGCCGCTGCTCCGTGCCAGGCAGCTTCCCAGCCCCATCCCATGCCTGAGCTGCCCATTCTTTGCAAAGCACTGCTAATGCTCCTCCCTCTGCACACCTTTGTCCTCCCTGGCTTTCAGCTGTGGCGGTGCAGCAGCTGAATACGGCAGGAAACCTTAGGGAGGCCTTCTCAATTCTTTCCTTCTCCAGCCTTCCTTCCTGTACGCTGGCAGCAGAACCAAGCCAATGCAATGTCTTCCAGCAATTTACCTGCAAAACTATTAAGATTCTCGTGAACATGACTGCACTGTAATTTGGAATAATGCTGAAAAAATAACATGAGCTGAATGTTGACACTTTTCCGTAGGGAAGGCATAATACTAAACATAGAGCCAATATTCAAATCTTTGGAGAAACCTTTCCAGGAAAGCTCTGCCGGTCTTTTTCTTGACGTGAGCCGAATAATGTAGTTTTAAGTCTGCGTTTTTAAAACCAGCCAAGGAGTTTGGGCTGGAATTTCCATCTCCCTTCTCCCACTGCAGTAACTTCAGCAGGAACCTAGATACCACCCAAGCTAAATTCCAGTCCAGTAACGAAAGCTTGGCACAGCTATAAGCAACCAGAAAACAGGAAGCTAAATGTGGTTAGGAGACAAGGCTAAGAAGAAATGTTGGCAATCCTTAGTAAATGTGAAGTCTCATTCTTTCCTCCTAGCTTTAATCCAATTCCTAATGTCAATAAATCAATATTTCTGTTATTATGCATAAGCTACTGCATTATGCTTACTCTGCTTTGCCCTCTGTGAGGTCTAAGTGGGACATTTATGCTCTAGAAGAAGGGCTGAGCAGTCAGTAGTCAAACTCCAAGGCGTGCTCTTCCTTGGCACTGGGGAAGCCAGGGGAGGATGCATGCTCAGCCAGGAAGGCATCAGCTCCAAGCTTCCAGCACTGGTCTGAATGAAGCCAGCAGTCTCTCGCAGCCTCCTGACTGCTCTGAGATGTGAACCCAAATGCTGTGGCACACACAAGTGGATGGAGGCTGTCATGTGCAGCTGAACTTCTTAGGCAAGCTGAATGTGTATCAACAAAGGACAGATTACTCAGCAACTCGCTAACTACTAGATTTATGCTCATGGTGACAGCTCCTTGAAGCATGCCCAGAAGCCCCAGAGAACAGCTGGGATGTAATGAGTTACCCAGCTGCCTCGTACTAAATCCAAGCCGTATCTGGTCAAGCTCTGTGCAGGAGGGGCTGGAAGGTGACATCTGAGTTCCCACCCATGGTTCTTCACATGACCATGAGCCTTGCCTTCCCGCAGCCTCAGGCATCCCCTCGAATGACTGCTGCTCTCCTCGGCCCCACAGGTAGGGCAGGCATCCCATGTGTGTCCACTGCTACTGGCCTCCAGAAAACATAATGTAGGTTAGCATACAAAAAAAGAGCTGGGAAAAGAGAATGAGCTGGCAAATACCCTGCCTGGGACTACTCACTCTCATGGTTATGGTGGCTCTGCTGAGACATGGACAGCTGGCAAGCTCCAGGTCCAGCTCTGTAAGGCTCACGTAAGCAGAATGGCATGGATTTGTGCTTGGAAAGAGGCTGTGACTACTGTAGGAAAGGCTAGGGCATAGCCACTGACTTGCAGGCTCTGCGGTTGGGTCCTGCCTGGCCACTGGACCATGAGTGGATAAGGACAGAGCTGGCTGGTGAAGGACAGCAATGTCCCATCCCTGCTTCTGATGGGCCTTAAAGGCTTGCTCCTGAGTGCTTGGGTGGTGAATTTGATGGGGCTCCCAGGAAGCAATTGTACACTGCTATCTTGAGGCACTCACTCACAGTCATCTGCACTCACTGGCCTATGTGGGGCAACCGGACCAGCAAAACCAGGCTGGCACCCACAGCAGGAAAGCACCGGTCCCAAAGAATCTGGGCAGAGATGAAGCGAAGTCTGCCCTGATTCTGTGAGAGGTTGGAAACCACACAGTGGCTCTCTTTCAGGGACTGGCTCTGGAAGTCTCCCAGCTTTTGTTGAAGCTGAATGGCTGGTGGAAAATGATTGATTTTAAATTTTCTTTCCTGCATTAGGAACTGGAAAGGCTCCCATTTCAGTTTGTGTAACTGCTTGGCTGCTGCGACAAGGAATGCTCGGAGAAGAACCCTGCTGCTTGCTGGAGCACCAGCTTTTGGACATCACAGTGCTGCTCCCTGGGCTGCTCCCTGCTGCAGCCTTGCTTTGTCCCAGTGCTTCGGATCCTGCTCCTTGTGCTTGGCAGAGACAGGGCGGCAGGTCCACCAGGAGGGCTGTGCTCTCACCATGGTTCCAAGGAGAGGGCAGGAGGCACAGGGACAGCGTGGAGGAAGACCCATTCTGTGCCTCTTATGGTGTTGCGGGTAAAGGAGGAAGTAAGCAGATGCCAAGCACGTTGCACAGCTTCAGTCAAGATCAGGTGAGGGGGGATGGCTGGAAGGGGAAGGGGTGGCAAGGCAGGCTGCTTGCCCCCAGTACGGTGGGCTGCAGACTGGGGGAAGGAGGGCAATAGGACTTTGCTAGCAGCTGCTAAGTTTGGAAGATGCAGGACAGAGCATGACTGGCCCTTCTGGGTCTTTTATCAAAACTAAAGGAAACACCCAGAATGTCTCCTTGCTCTGCTGGACCTACAAGGGTGTCAGGACTAGGAAGGGGCACTGGGAGCCCCAGACAGATGTCAGTTCCACAGGCTACAGCCCGGCCTAGCTTTTCTACTGGTGCCCTGTGGTGTGAGCTGCCACAAGGGGAAAGACAGAAGGTGTCTGTGCTGCCAGTCAGGTGCCACCAGCCTCCTGACAGAGCTGACTGGTGAAGGACATAGCTTGTGAATCCATGCTGAAACCTGAAGGCACCGTAATCCTCACAATCACCTTCATTTTGCAGATGTCTTTCTTGCACTGTGATGTCCAAAAGCAGACATGGTGACCAGGTGTGGTCTCCCAAGCCCTGAACAGAGATGAAGACTCTTCCCTCGATCTACTGGCTGCGCCTTGGCTAACACAACTGCAGGCACACTTGGCCTTTGGTGACACAGAGGCACACAGCTGACGTGGTGGTTTTCAGCAGACCACCAGTCAGACCCTAGCCCATGCCAGTGCCTGGCATTCCTCCAGCAAACTGCATTGTCCCTGCAAATTTCACGAGGTACCTTCTAAACTTTCTTTCTGTACTTTTTTTAACTCTTCCTGAGGTTTTTTCCTGTGGCCAGCAGAGGGATGCTGGCCTTCAGCTGGCTCCGGGCCTTGCTGTGAGTCACAGCACAGGCACAGGACAGGAAAGAGCTGGGACGTGGCTGCAGCCACTGGCACGTAGAGAGATGAGAGCAGACAGTGCCTACGGGGTCCCACGAAACAGAGGATACCTCATGTGACTTCTTACTTGTAGGTGGTAAAGAGCCTCCAGCATCTCTGTCACTCAGACTGGGAGGAAGTTTCTTCCTGACCACAGTCTCAGAGACTGCCCTGCAACCCAGCTGGTTTAACTTAGTGCCTTTGGACAAAACTCGCTGAGCAAGGCTGAGGGAGCTTCTGACAGCCTGAAAAGCCCCAGCATGTCTTTACCAGTGTCCCACCTTCAACTCAGAACCACAGAATGGTTAGGATTGGAAGGGACCTATGAGTCCATCTTCTCCAACCCCTGCTTAAGCAGGTGCCCAGCACCACGTCCAGGCAGCTTCTGAAGATCTGCACACCACAATCTCCCCGTGCAACCTGTGCCAACGCTCCGTCATCTGCACAGTACAGAAGAGATTCCTGATGTTCAGATGGAACCTCTCGTATTCCAGTTTGTGTCCACTGCCCTTTGTCCTGGTCCTGGGCACTGCTGAAAATAGCACGGCTCTTTCCTCTTTGCAGCCTCCCTTCATTGACAAGATCCACTCCCTGAGCCTCCTCTTCTCCAGGCTGAGTAATCCCAGGGCCTGAAGAGACTCAAAAACAACTGCAGCCTTACAGTGCTGCAGAGGTTCCCCAGAGACTGGGGGAACAATTCCTTCAAACTGTGAAAACGCCACAGGGTGGGATGCACTCAGTGCAGTGTGAATGCATCTCGGCCACCTGAAAACACTCTCACGTTGCATCTCAGGAGCTCCATCCTCTGAACTTTTCCATGCTGTATTCTCAGACTGCCAGGTTAGGAACCTGTAACTCCAATCTTTGGGCTCTTACCAAGTCATTTTCAGCTTCTGGGCCAAAGGCACCCTCCTCATGTCTCACCTGCCGACCATCATGGAATGCAGATCTCTGTAGCACTCTCTGTGCCCTGGGAACCCGTCCCACCCCATTGTAAAGTGGCTGCATATTTCTCAACATGTTGGTTTCAGAAAGTCACCTTCCATCCTCTTTCCGTGAGAATGAAAATAGGTTTTAGGCAGCAGCTCTGAGGGTGGAAGAGGAACAGGTCATAGAATGATAGAATATCCCCCTTTAAAATACATTTCCCCTCTGCTATGCTGTGCTTTGCCTTCTTCCCTTACAATACAGCTGACAATAAAAAACTGAAAATTTTCACTGTGAAAATCCTCATTTCTTTCTCCTACAGGCTGAGTTTGTTTGTACGTGATTTTGAGGACCTCAATCACATCAGCTCTCAGGTCATTCCCAGACAGCCATCCCAGCCTGTTCTCATAAGGCAGCTCTCCTACCCCCTGGAGCACTTTGGTTCTCTTTCTCTGGGTTTCCTCTATTATCTCTATTGAAGTTTGGAGAGCAACAAAGCAGTGTAGTGAATTCCAGATGTGGGCATACCAAAGACCTGTACAGGAACAAACTGATGCCCTCACTTGGACTGGAGAAAAGCCTGGCTCAACAGGAAAGGTGAGCACTGGCTGCTGCTTGTCTTACAGTTCACAGCCCCCTGGGTACCAGCAGTCACCACACTTTGGCAATATACCATCCCAGATGTTTCCTTGCATCACTGTCAGTTGAAACTACAGGTCCCATATCCTTCAGCTCCAACACAGAAAAGAGGCCATGGATAAAACATATTCCACAGACTAAAATAAACCAGCTACATGCTAAAAAAAGAACCTTTGGGTAATCAGAAATCACTATGCGTGGAACATACTTCTTCTTGAAGCCAAATCCTGGAGCTCTTTATTTTGAATTTTTATTAGAGCCTGCAGAGCAATTAGTACACATTCAGATCCAAATGACTCTTGCAAAACTTCGTGTTGGGGAAACAACAGCAGTTTTTTGCTTAGAGAAAACAATAAAACTAAGTCTTTAAACCCTTAACAGCTTTCCTGTTTGCACTGTTTTGCAGTTACTTGAAGGGAAAAAATAAAGGCACATACTATTTTTCTCTGCGTTCCCCCTTCTGTACCGACAGCTTGGCTACACACCGATCCTCCCTGCAGCCCCA